AAAATTGCCGGAAAGATGGGAGAAAGTTGTCGCTAGCGAAGGACAATACTTTGAATAATATATCTGTAAGCACTTTTTGGCAATAAAGCTTTTAATTTTGGAAAAAACGGCGGAAGCTAAGTTGTACACCTGATAAAATAAATTTAAATACTGAAAATAAAATTTTTGAATACTTAATTGGGAGACTTTAACTAACTTATTAAATTTCCATTATGGCTAACGGATATACTATAAAATGTAGCTTCTATACATTTAACTTTTGAGTTACATACATATACATATGTATGTTTGTTTTGCCTGGTATCAAATTAGTATATAATTATTGAGGGTATATTTCAGGCAGAGTCGAAGAGTGAGTTTTTTTTCGTTATCTATGCTTTTATTTCATTTTTGTAAGTTTTCCACTATTTGTTTTGTTAGTTTTTATTTATTTTTTTTTTTTTTTTGCAATTTTATCTTTGTTTTCACTTTTTTCTTTATCTCCCTCTATTAGGCCACGTTCAAACACCGAAACGCACAACAGTAACAACAACCAAGTAAGCTACCTTTTAACACGCCTTGCGCCAACGTTTAGAATGCGTGGCACTGACTATGCAAGAAGAAGAAAAAGAAGAAAAGTCAAAATTGTATATGAGTTGATGGTATAAAAACAAGCAACGAAAAAATCACAAGAGCATGACATGCTAATTTTTGTATTATTGGCTGTTTTCGACGATTTGTTTTGAATTTTTTTTATACTTAATTACCCCGAAATTTCATAAAATTGCTTTCCGTTTGAGTTTCATACACAAATTGAGGCAGCGATTTTTTTTTTTGTTGCAAATTACTTAAAATAAAATAAAATGGAAGAAATCAAAATTACCAATTTTGTATACACAAAAATTTTGATAAGCTTATTTTCGTTTTTATATATATCTACACATATGTATGTAAACACAAAACGGCGCACCGCACACGACGCACCATTTTTGACCTTGAGAAATGGAAATCAAATTGTGATTTCGAAATAATATAACAAATGAACGATTTGAATGAACAACAACATTCACACACCCATGCATATATATGCATGTACATACAACAAAAAAATATCATTAGAAGGAACGCCGAAAACGTAAACGTAACAAAAATTCATTGCCACGCGAAACAGGCCAAACTGGATTTAAAATAATCACACGCACGCACGCACACACATACATATGTACATCAGCATAGCAAACGAACAGCATCATACATTAGATTGATTTTAGAGTTTAAATATGAAATGCAATAAAAATCTGATATAGAAAAAACAATTATTGAAGTCATTTAATCGCCGGACAGACAAAAAGTTTATTAGTTCTTTTTGCTAATTTTTTAAATTTCTTTTGCACTCTTAATCACACCGTTCGTGGGCTTTGAATAATAGATAGTGAGCACGTTGGAAACACACTTTGCTATTTGAAAATTATCACTTCGCAGTCGAAAGTAAATATTTTTGTTGAGATTATAGATTTAAATTTCAGAAATAATGCTTATTAAGAGCGCAAATTTATAATTTATTTAAACACTTTTGTTGCATGATTTGTGGAAAAATATTTAGGCAACCGCAATTCTAAACGATTTATTTTTGGAACGATAAAGTTTTCAACGGAAAATTTTTTTCGCATAAATTTTGGATTCGGCAGGAATAACATTGCAAGTCAACACACTACGGCGCACAAGAAAGAATAAAAGTAGCTGAACACTATAAGATATCGGTACACAAATTTGCTTTTAAGAAAACTTAAAAATCTATTGTCACATTCACAGCAATATTCCATTTTTCTTATATTTTTCTCTAAAAAAATTATAGCAGGTTTTTAGTTAAGTAAAATTTTGGCATGCTTTATATGCCTAAAGTGCTGTGAAATTATTTTAATTCGATTATATTTTTATGCTATAAAATTATAGCAAGTTTTTAAACAATTTTAAATGTTGATAAAACAACTTGTTCACAGCCAGTAGCATTTATCTTCAGTTATACATAAACAAATTTCTTGTGTGTAATAAGTTTAAATAAGATTTTGAAAAATTTTAAATCTTCGAAAACAAGATCTTAGAAGAGTTGAACAATTTTGTAATGACAATTGCATAAAAATATTACAGTATGCGTGCTATACTAAAGAGTACTAGCTATTGTTGCGATATCAAACACATTTTTAAACTTTAAACTATTTGCTATTATAGAAAAATAATTTATAGCACAAAATTTTTAAGTTTAAAAGCATAAATAAATTTTTGCAGTTTAGAATTAAAGCAACAACTGTGCACTGTCAGTATTTTACATTTTAAAGCACTTTACATATGCTATAAAATGGTGCTATAAAATTATAGCAAGTTACGAAACTTCTTGATTGCAGTAGATTCATGCTCTGAGACAAAACTCTTACAATTTCTTTATATAATTGTGCTAGTTGGAATTTATAGCAAAAAATTTTCATCATAATCATTTAAATCAAACAAAATTGATAGCACTACATTGCTTGTACTTCAAAACTAATTATGATACAATCTTTTGTGATTTTTCTCAACTTTTTTAACCACAGTTATTCTTCTCTGCCTATGTACAAGGTAAGTATGCATTTAATTATTATACTTTTTCAATAAACCGCCAGCGTAATTGACTATGTTGACCTGAATACGCAAGTTGTGCGATTTTTACACATGGCGCACTGTTTTTTTTGTTTATTTATATATTTAGCACCTGCACAACAATTTTTCAACGCGGTAAAAAAAAAGAAGAAAAAATCAAATACTTCCCATCATAAATAAGTTTGCTAATTTTTTCACAATCATCTATTTCTTCAACACAAATTTTCACACACTTCGTGGTAGTATTTCACTCACACTAAACTTTTTTCCCCACTGTCAATTTGTTTTCTTTTTTTAATTGGCAGTTTTCTTTAATTAGTAAATTTCACATTTTCGCACATTTTAAATTTTGAAAATCTTCCATTTCTAAGAAAGTAGTTTTAAAATTTTTTTCCACCCAAAAGTAGCACACAAATTTAATTTAATTTATTAATATAATTTTTTGGAACAAATTTTCACTTTTACGGTATGTGCAAGTGAGGAGCAGACACATTTCAAGTTTTTTTTTATTAAATTTTTTTTTTTTTTAATTCAACACACACACACGCATTTAAAAGGAATTAGGGTTTTTATAGCATGTTTTATGAGCAATAAAAACTTTTAACGCCAGATCATTTACAACGCAAACATAAAATTCATACACATCCCCTTATGTACATATGTATGTATGTATGTGGTAGCAGCCGCGTTGTGCACACATAGTAAATAAAAAAAAAGGGAAAGTAAATTTAAGCGCAGAATTTTCTGTATTTTTCCAAGCAACTTTTCTTAACTTTTTCTCATTTATTTACATATGTACATATTTCTTTTTCACAACTCGAGTCAGCTACTCACCCGCATAGGCACAGTTTGCATAGATTCGCCAACGATCTGCGTTTACTACGTCGTCGATTCTTCTGGTAATAGACGGTCGTCGAACCGTTCTCAGCATCCAATACTGTTTGTTGTAGCACAACACCGGCTCCACCGCCCATACCGCCACCACCGCTGGCACTTTCACTGGCAGCAGCGCTTGTGGCGCCTGCCGCATCATAACGCTTATGTACAACACCACCACTTTGGCTACGCACACCTAACGCTACAGACTCGGTGATACCGTGTGCTGTCGCCTCACCCGCACCGCTTGTTGTCGTACCGCCGGCAACGCTACCGCGATACGACGTTTGCGTTGTCTGCGCCAATTTCGCCAGTTTCGCAGACGTACCCAATCCCTTATCGAAACCGCCAAAACTACTATATCCCGTTCTACTATTTCTTTCTTGTTGTTCTCGTTCTCGTTCTCGTTGTTGTTGCTGTAACGTTCTTGCACTCGCACTCGCACTCGTATCACTCGCGTATTTATCGCGCTCGCGACTACGTTCATTTCTGAGACGTACTTGCCCAGCAGCGCGGCCAAGACTGTTCGATGTATTGCCAAACAAATTGCTAAAGAAGCCCGTCGCTATACCAGCAGCCGACAACGACGACCGCGACGATGTCGACGATGTTGCCGCACCAGAGCCGCTCGGCTGTGTTGCTGAGTAATCATGGAGATAGTAGCGTGAGGTGGCAATGCTGCCGCGTTTCGTAGTTTGACCGCGTCCGCTGTGGCGTATGAGTAATTCAGTCTCAGAGTCGGAATCTTCGGTTTCGCCATCGAAATCACGTAGCTGTATTTCGCTATCGGCCACCATGGCAGTGTGGTTGAGCATTTACTTATTTGCGAAAAGAACACTCCAAACAAATGCAGAATTTATGTAAAAGTATGTGGATGTGTATGCGTGTGTGTGTGTATAAAACACTACGAAACTAACAAAAACACAGAGAGCTGGAAGCAGAGAGCTTTTTGTTGATTTAATTACAATAATGTTTTCTACTGTGCACACAGTCGAAGAGAGAGAGCGGTTGTTTTTTTTTTTGTCGTCGTGCGGTCTCTTCTTGAGCACGCGCGTCGTCTGTTTGGCTATTTGGAGAGCAGTGTTGTTTTTTTTATTGCTATGTATATGTACTTAATTCTAAGCCAATTGGATTTGTATTTATGCCGTTATTTATGCAGTGGTTGTTTTATATTTGTATGTACATATATATATTATTTATTTATTTTTTAATTTGCATATTTTTGTTACTCTTTCCTCTACTTTTACTTTTCTTATTGTTGCATTGTAGTTTTTTTCTCTTTCTCCGTCACGTTTATTTTTAAAAACACAAACTCGACTCTTTGGCTAATTTGTTTTGCCAACACTTGATGTTTCACTGCTGCTGCTGCTGTTGAGACCGTTATATTATTGCAATGCTTCTATAATTTTTGCTGTTGCCTGAGTGACGCCTTCTGCGCCACACTAGTGCTCTGCTTTTAATTGCCAACGTTTATTTTCTAATTTAAATGTGCAGCAGCAAGCAATGAACGCTTGTCAGCGTGTTCACGACAACGGCGAGTTCGGTTATTGTCTTGCTAGGCATTTTATTTTTATTTATTACCATTTTTTGTTGTTGTTGCTTTATTTGTTATTTATGCCAATTGACAGTTGGTGTTTGTTATAGTTTTTTCTTACCTATTTCGAATGTTCACAAGTCGATCGGTACACACATACATACATATATGGTTAGGTATGTATGCATGTAGTGGCATTGATGAGCTGGAGGCTGCTGATGTCAGCGCGTTCTTGATGTTATTTTATTACCTCACAGCGCTTTCTGTACGCTAAGTGAATTTGATTCAGTTGATTTATTTGTTTGTGAGTTTTAATGAAGATGTTTTTTGGCGTAAATAAATGTTTATAGTTTTAGTTTTTAACTTTATTATATTTTAATTTCATTTTTTTTTTGTTTATTTATTTTTTTGTTAAATGCTTTTTAGTGTTTTTAATTTAAGATATTTTTTTGGAGTTTCTGAAATATATTTACAAATTTTTAATAATAGCAACAGTTATTTGTGAAGTTTTTAGTAAATAAATGTGTACATATTGTATTTGGTTTTTAACTCTATTGCATTTTATTTTAATTACTTTTTGTATTTTTGTTTTATTAGCATACATATGTATATACATACATATGTATTTTTAGTGTTTCCAATTTAAGACATGTACCTACATATGTATGTATTTATATTTTTCTGCAATATTTACATATTACTGTAAAATAAAACCCGTTACTTTTGTCGAAGAAGTTCGAAGAAAGGATTTTTCAAAATAGCTTTTTCCTTCCTAATTAAAATTTCGAAAGTTTGAAATTACTTAGTTTTAAAACGGTCACTCATTAGAAATCACATATGAAAAGGTTCACTGTATATGTATATGTACGTACATGGGAGAAGTCCAATTTTATATTTATTTCACCATACAAAAAACCGCCAACTTGAAGACGTTCATCAAAGTTACTTGCGTTAAAACAGATATAAAAATTCAAACCGTACAATTAAAGCAGTTCTACAGCAACTGACTTGCCCGCTGATTTCATTTAACCGCTGTTGCATGCTACATTTGGCTGTAACTTTTGTATTTGAAACCCGACTTCTTATTATCTGCTAGACTAAAGAAGCATATGGTACTGTAGCCTTATTATATATGTAGGATTGATAACCCTCTACTTTACTACTGTACTGTGTACTGTATCAGAACATGATACAAAGAAAGGAAGGCAGTTTCACTCAATATTAAATTGGCATAAAAACATTTTTGGACATTAAACCTTATTTTCATCTTCAAGATACTGTCAAAATATTTTATATGTTTTTTATTTTTTTAAAATGGTCCATCGCCTGAATATAATTTTATTTCCATTAGATTTCAGAAAATACAATGCAAAGCCTTTGAGTTTTTTTTTTGAGTACGTTTCATTTGTCTTTAATTTTTTTCTTTCTGTTTGAGTACATTTTATTTTTTGTTTCTTTTTTGAGTACATTTTTTTTATTTATATATTTATTTTTTTTTTTTTGTGTACATTTTATTTTTCTTTTTTTTTACATTGGTAGGTTTTGCATTTTTTGGTAATATAATATTATATATTTTCCTAAATTTAGAAAGTTGAAATTTTATAGACATGAAATTGATAGCACAAAAATAAAGCGCAAGTCAAAAAAGTCATGGTTAATATATTTGCAAAAAAAATTTTATGAAACCTTTTTTTTTTGTGTCATGGACAAAACTCTAAACGTCCCCGCGACTTTATACCGCAAATAACATTTGGGTATCCACATCGAATGATTCTGAACAAAAATTAATGCATTTATAGCTGAAATTTGAACTGGTCTTATATTGACGTATTTAAATTTTGAAAAAAAAATCTCCCTAAAATAAATGACACTCAGAGGAGCACTAAAATATAAGTAGTTACTTTAAAAACCTAGGATTTCACAGGGGATATGACTTGCTAACTGGAATCGCTTATATGATCTATTTATTAGTTCATCTCAAACGACGATTAAATATTAAAAAAAAAACACAGTACACGTAAAACTAAATTCATGTATATGCGAAGAGTTTAATGGAAAGATTAACCGCTCGCTTTTATACCGGCATTTTTCTGGAGTATCTAAAACACTAGGCAATAGTGATACAGTTTAAATATAAACTTGAATTCCGTAATGCAAAATTAATTTCAACACTCATTCTTTCTTTCGTAAAGACGACGTTAAACAATTACACGTTTAAAGTTAAATGCATACATATGTATGTACAACAATCCGCCGAAGTACTCATTTCTATGTATTTATCACACCTTTTAAAATCAAGTTATAAAGTAACTGTATTAACTCCAGTTATGACTTTTAGTGCACCTGTTCCGTCATTTAATCAGGGGCTTAGTGATATCACTATGACTGTTATTTACTCTTATGAGATGCGATTAGTTCAGAGATAGCACAGCAAAGATATTTTGTAATTTTTGTTATCACTATTATAAATATTTCAACCCAATTTATGGAGCAACATTTTTTGATTACAGTGATTTCACCCGCTGCGACTGCGTGGCATAAATGAACAATATTTAGCTGTGATTTTCTTTCGATTTATGTGATTTCTCCACCAATATTTCAATTTCCGCGAAAGTCACATTATTTTCTTAAGCGTTTAATTCATATTTATGTTACAGTTTTGTCATTTTTTAATAGTTTTGTAGAATTTATTCAAAGCAAATCATCTTCGCTAATTTCACTGTGCACTTGATTTAAATGTTGTTTTTTGCATTTACTAAATTCGCGAATGTCAATTTATAACCAGCTGACTTTTACATTTTCTTATTGGGAAATATTCGCTGGCAGTGTTGGAAAGTACCTGCCGACACAATGAAACAGTTTGATTAGTTGTGGGAAATCATGTTTAATTATTCAACAGCATGCATTTTCTAAGTTATTTACTTTAAATGAATATTTGAAGTGCAAAGAATTGAAAGGGTTTTTGCTTGGTTTTTCATCTATTTCCGAATTTTTAATTATTTTTAGGTCTCTGCTGAAATGCAGCTCTGCGTTTTGTTAACACTGCTCTCTATTGCACTCTCTCTCTCTTTCTCTCGAAATGTGTACAATAGCGGAATCTGTTCATTTTGCAGCAACAAAAATGTAAACAAACAAATGTTCCTGCGCAGCTGAGAGCTCCACCAATTGCAATCATTTTTCTTTGTGTTGTTATTCCATTATATTTGACACTTTTTATTCTTCCCCAATACACGATTCCATTTCAATTTACAAAAAGCGCCCAATTCATTGTGAAAGCAAACAAGGAAAATCGAATTGATTGTGCTGTTGGCATTCATAGAGGACAGAGCAAACGGTTTTGACTTGATTGTAGCCGAGAAAGGAAGCTGCAAGGTAAGCTAGCTGAATAATAAGCTTGTTTCAGTGCATAGTTTCACTGATGTACAATAAAATTTTCAGTATGCTGAATTTCTTCAAAGACGTAATGGCTCCAACAACGCGTAGTGTAAAATCTGAAGACAATAAAGATGGTGGCATTTGTACAAAAATGGGCATCAGTGGTAAAAGTGCTGAAAAATCTACACCAACTCTACAAATGAAAGGCTACAAAGTTACAGACAACGAACGTACGAAAAAATTCGGCATTGGCGCTAATACTCTACAAATGCTCAAAGATAAGGCGAAGTTAAAGTTTCCTGTAAGTAGAAATTCGAAAAACCTATGTACATATATTTGAAATTTAAGAAATACGAAAAATTTGTTATGTACAGAAAGCAGAAATTGCGTCGCAAATTTTCTTTATATGTACATACGCCAATGGTAAAGCATCTAAATAACTGCCCACGCCACCTACAAGCAATGATTTTCCATTGTCACGGTCAGTGCTAAAGGATGCATGTAAATATATACATATAGTAAATACCAGCTCTAAGCTGTGAATTATATATTCGGCGTATCGAAACCTGGCAAACGGTTAATGTAATGAAAAACAAGGTCCCAAAGGCAATTTAAGATTTTTTACTGATTTTCTACTTATTAAATTTAATTACTCAGCCTCTTCGTAGTGGGCCACATTATGTACACAATGAAAGTTACTTTCCATTTCCGATTATCGAATTCAATGTCAAGGCGTCGTGCGCATGACCGCACGCGAGGCGCGCGAAAACCCCACACAGCGAGTAGCATATGGTAAAATCGCTGTTTGAGATGATATACAGCAACCTGTTGCTACTTGCTGCTAAAATCGGAATACTAGAGCCATAGTATGAGGGCTACTATGAAGGACGAAAACAAAAAACAAACATTCATTCATAGCTGCATCTGTGCTCGAGTATCCTTGAACGCATGCATACATATAAGCTACTCCAGCTTTTTCATAATGTTAAAGTTTTGTTGGCCTTGGTGGCATGGCGTATATACCTAATTGGCCACTCTGCTTGCCCAATCGCTCGCATTCAAGGCCAATAAACTTTGATATTTTTGTTTGCACACTTGATGTGTGTGTTATTTTGGTGTCACTCGCGTCCTTGCCCGCAGTTGTCCCGTTAGTGTTGTTATCACTGCAGTACTGCGTACTTAACTCGGTCAGGGCCTTAAATGCAAGCACAGCGTAGGTCATGTCCTTGCACAATTACACACTTGACACACTATTAAATTTTTATTTGACTTGACAATGGCCATGACAGTAGTGAGTATATTAACGCCAATATCTTATTTTTCACAACAGATTAAAGACTTAAGATTGTATATGTCTACCGATGGCTTTGAGATTTCTGATGATGATTACTTTCAAACGCTGGCGTCTCAAACACTATTCATTGTCGCTGGGCCTGATGAGATAATAACAACAGGTATGTCTACGTGTGTGTGTGTGTGTTTTTGAAATGAATTTTATAAATTTGACTAACATTTACCCTTTTACAGATGCTGATTTTGAATTTGAAAAGTTGTGCAAAAACTCACCTTTACTACGTGTGGCCGATATTATATATGAATTTATAGAGAAAAATCCTGAGCAATTTCGCAAAATGATAACAGATTATGAAAATCGTAAAATTTGCCGTCAACAAGCGCTGGATAGCAACAAACAGTCATACCAAAGTAAGACACAACTCAGTCTGCGCACGCAACATAGCGAATGGTTTGCGGGTCAGGAAGAACGTTGCCATTCGAAGGAGGAGGCAATGGCGAGACGCGCACAAGATCGTATGCGTAGCTATTATTATAAAACTAAAGAAGAGCTTACGCGCAATAAATTGTATCGACAAAATCTCAAAGCGCGTCACATTATAGATGCAGTATTGGAACAATTCCGTTATTTGCTTATCGGCTGTGATTACTTTTCAATGCTATTCGATCGTAAGTGTCCGAATAAACATGCCATCCTACAACAGCAATATGATGATGATGAAACAGACGCCACAGCAATGTTGCCAAATAAACGTTTACGTCAGGTTATTAAAGAATATACAGCGCGACATGAAATACTAGACGAATGGTCTGTATCACTTTGCACCGATTTTGGTGACTTCTACTGTCAGGGTAGCTATTCGGACAATGGCAATTGTTGCGCCCTCAAACACACCATCAACCCGTATGCATCACGTGAAAATCTAATACTCTTTCAAGTATGGAATTTAGATCACCAAATTGAATTGTCACGTTCCATATTGCCGGCATTAATTGAAAACGTACGACAGTTGGTGGAACAACCCCAAGTGAAGTGTACGTTACATAATAAACGTGTTATTGATATTTCTGTATTGGAATACTTTTTGGAAATATTTTCATTGAAAAATCTGAAATTAGTGCATATTGTTTGTCACGATAAAACGCAACGTGCGAATAAATCCAATGGACGGTTGGTTTGCGAAAAATGTCATGAATACAAAATTGTACAAGAGCTGATGGGTGTGCGTGATAATGAAGATGCTGTAGACGCGAAAAGTTAAAGAATTACAAGAATGAATGCATAAGTGTTTTTTTTTTTTTGAGTAGTGGTTGTTGTTGAAAGTTTATGAAACAAGCTAATGATGAGTTTTTGAAATGAACATTTCTAGGAAATAGGAAAAGTTATAAAAAATGAGTAATGTAATCAAGCATGCCAAAAGCTACTCTTATTTCCCCTATTTTTGGGAAAACGTAAACCATGAGGCGAAATTCTCTGAGCCTAATACTATTTTAAGACTAAAGTAAATCTAAATTAAGCATTTATACTCTGCTAAGCCAATAAAATTGGTTACCCTTACTTCTTAAATGCACCATGATTTTAATAAAATGAAACATAACCTAAAAAAAACTTACACACTTTAACTACACGCAATCAAAACCTTTATGCTCCTATTAAAACACAAATTAACTTAACCAGTTCGCACTTTGTGAAAATATATCATGATTTACATTGTTTTATTTTTAATTTATAATTCAAAAAATATTCTTAAACCAACTGAACTCATTTAACTTGCCACTATACTCGTTAAAAAGCTATGCTTAGCTGAATCTAACTGTTGGAGAGTTCAAAGTAAACTAAAAACAATAAAAATAATAAATAAATTAGCAATACTGCAAATACTATATGTAACTTACAATATCCATATGTACAAATATATACAGAAATAGTAAATCATAATCGCCTATTTTAAAAACCATACAAAAAAATATTGTAATTATTCATATAATGGACTTCTTAGTATTATTATTGGCCAAAATAAAGACAAAATATTTTACATATGCTAACCAATATAAACTGCTGTTAATTAGTAAATAGGAAAACACTTAGCAATGTTCCATACTCTTGTAACTTTAATTAAGTAAAAATTGAAATTAATAACTCTGAGCATATGCTCATGCATATACATACATATATAATGTTTATTGGGCTGCGAATGTACTTTAGCATACACATGTGCTTGTTAACTAGGATTTACTGCTTTATAGCTTTTAAAAGGCATTAGAAAATACCTACGACATTAAAATGTTGCTATAAAATTATATAAAAAAAACTATTGTTGCTATGTAGATGCGCCATATTCTACTATGTGTAGTAGTGTTATTGTTATAGTAGTAGTTATTATAGGTGATACTTTTTAGAGTTGAATAGAGAGTTGACAAGACACTTTAGAGGACAAAATATATGTATTTTATATAAAAAATGTTTAAAACATAATTAAATATTATACTGATATATTGAAACAATAAAAAAGCCGGTCCTAATCAAAATATTATACAGAAAAAATATCTAAAAAAAACAAAGAAAAATACCTATATATATATATATATATACAATATATACGATTTGCTAAGCGAGTTAATGAGCTAGGCTTTAAGGTGTTACATAGGTCTTAAAGGCCAGAAAAAAAGTTTATTTTTTCTAATTTTTTTAAAAGATACTAAATAAAGTATACAATTTAATTTGTTTACATATAAAAGTACAATATGTGGACAACATTTGATGAAAATTTGAATCAAGAATAGTATAAGTCAAGGCGTCGGCAGTATCGTGAAGTAGACCGTTCACAAGAAAATGCTTTCGCAGTAGTCATGATAGCTTTTTCAATTTTTATCTGAAATCAAAAATCCAAATTTTTTCTTAAAGTATGTGAATTTTTCTTGTCCTTGAACGAAGAAAAATTAAAAGATTCAAAATTGAATTTAACATAAAAGTCATTTTTTGCATAAAACTATGCCACATATTGGCTTGTAAAATGAGTTGAAATCTAAGATAAAATAAATCCGTCGTTCAGGAACTACAAAAACATGCTTAAAAGTAGTGTGGAATATTTGAACTCGATCGCTTCAATAGTCTTTGAGAAAGTTTGACTACCGATTTCGATAAAGTGGTTTTTCAGAAAAATGCGTTTCGGCATCAGTCAAGCCATGGCAAATACGGCGGGTTATAAAACTCTCTAATTTCTGCAGTTTCGTCCCGATCGACTTGAAACTTGGGGAATATATTCCTGACACTTTGTACTTTTATACAAAAAATTATGAAAAAAATGAATTTTTTAATGTTTCAAGACCTATGTAACCCCTTAAGTTGACAAATTTCGAAAAAATAGTCTATCTTAGTTCCAATAATACTTTACAGTCCCTTCAAAACTTCGCCAATTCATTAAGGAAAACTTAATAAAAAAAAAAAAAAAATAGCTACAACAATGTAAATCTTCTATGCCCTCAAGAGTGATTTGCGATAATTGCATACTTATTAACTTTTCCCAAATCAGTTGAAATTTCTATATCCATTTTATTTCATATCCAAGCAAATTATAAATACTGTTTTTCGGTGGGCGTGTTGTAGTTAAATACTGGTTTCTCTCCGCATTAAAAAACTTCAACTCAGCGTTGATTTTCGAACTGGTTTCAATTACCAAGACCAAAATCTACTTAAATAATTGTGTTTAAAGCCAGCAATTAAAAAATAATAATTATTAATAAAACAAACAAGTTAAAATTTTAGGAAATGTTTATTTTAGAACAACACTTTTTTTCAAAAAAAAAAAAGAAATTAAGTTCAATATACAATATTTATGCCTATAATGCCTTTATTATCTAAGAAATAATAAAAGATACTAAAAACAATGTTTTAAAAAAATTGCTTTAAATATTTAAAAGCAAATTGTTTATTAAAAAAACTGAACATTTTTAATGATTTTTAAAAGTAATTTATTATTGCCATTTTAAAAATTCTCTATATTAATGTTAAATAATCTGCTGCTCGATACCTAAACAAATGTAACTAATTAAATATAAAAAGTAAATCATGTATACATACATAATACATATGTATATGAAATATATATAACGTAAACTAAAGTTAACAATAAAACATAAAAAAATTATCTAACTCAAATACCGTTGTTTTCTTAATTAAAAATAGTTTATAATATAATTTTGTTGTTTATTTCGATAGTTTTCGAAAACAATATGCGCAAATAGTATGAAAACTGCGTAATTATATAATATAAAAAAATTATAATAATAATAGTTTATTTACATAAAACTAAAACTTTCTATAAACTACTATACACGTATGTGATTAAGGGGCACACCTAGCGTGATGGCCTAAGAAAGGAGATTTTTTGGAATTTTTATTAAAAGAAATACTTTATCAATTATTTCGAAATTTTAAGAATATATTTATTCATCTTTCAAGAATATACAGTGAAATTTTTGAAGAAAAAAATTAAATATATTTTAAGTTATAGTCGATCTCCAACGTCGCGAAAAAATGGTCCTTAACTGCTGGAGTGATTCCGACCTTCTCCGTGGATGAAATCTAAAAAAAAAAAATTCTCGTTAAACTAGATAATATTGTCTGTACAATGACCTACGACAAAACAAAAATAAAAATTGAAAATATGGCAGCGTTTAAAAAAAAATTATCGAATTTTACCCATAATTTTGGTCGTTTTTGGCCTGCCGAAGTTCGATTTTTTGATCAGATCAAAAATCGATAGATCATTGTACGGAGAATTATATATAGAACGTGTAAAAAAATTCGATAGTGATCGGATCATTTCTTGTTGAGTAATCACTGCAGCAAATTCGGAAAATCCTGTTTCGAGAAAAGCACGTTTCAAGATAAAATTATTATTTTCGCTCGTAGCTAATGAGACTCTCTAGCTGCCGAGCGGCTGCTCTTTAAATTGCTATAACTCAAAAACTATTTGAGATATCGATTTGAAATAATAATATTTTAATATTTTTAAAGGTGTAATCTACCGAAATATTAAAAAAGATCGATTTTTCTTTTAAATTTCACACTAGGTGTGCCCCTTAAACGTTCCTATGCAATTATTTTTCCAACCCTTAATAACGCAAATTGCTTTTATACTCACCACCTTGAGAGATTTCTGAAAAACAAATTTTTAAAAAAGTTGAACAACGTCGGATTCGTGGTAGGTGAGAGACCCCGTCGCCCAGTATTGACATTCCCTCGGTGGATGAACGTCATTAAAGAGAAATTTTTTAACATATAGCTGATTTGGGCCCACGCCCCGACGTAAGAAAAGGATGATTTGACCAAAGATGCCTTTAAAGAACGCCTCAAGCACACTTATCAACGCTGCCTCCGCCACGATTTGAAATTTTTGCTGGGCAGCCAAAGAAGTTATCTTCAGTATAACGGTCGAAAAAACCAGTTAGCACAACGAAACATCTCCTAATGTATACATGCTGATCGACTTCGCTGGGGCTCGAAATAAGGTTGTCTGTAGTACTAGATTCCATCACAAGAAAACTCATCTAGATACTTGGCTGTCTCCAAAACGAAAAACTAAAAAACAAATCCGGGGAACTAATATCGACTCGGATCACTATATTGTAGCAGCAAAGATACGCACCCGTCCCTGTGCTGCAAGGAACACCCGTTAACAAACACAAGGAAGGTTCGACTAACCTGCAATAACAATAGATAGAGAACGGTTTTCTACTCGACTCGCACTTCTGCTCTCTGAGAGCACTCATCAGCAACTCGGTATAAGGGAACTGCGGAACGAAACTTCAACCTCCCTGCGTATTGGTGCAAACGAAGCTCTTCATTTTCAAAAAGGTCCCAAAAACAGCTGGTACGATATTGTCTGAGGTGTCGCAATGGAGGGACAACAGTCTGCCTATCTCCCAACCTTGCGATTGACTACAATAAGTACATGGGGAGCGAGATACCGAGAGCTCAAGAAAGAGCCAATACACATTTGCAAAGAACAAAGCACGAGGCCAAGATGTGTGAGTATGAGGAAGGATACGTCGACTTACCGAAGGAAGCAGACGGTTGTAGGACACAAAGAGGTGATGTAGTAACTGATACCCAGAGAGTACTGCATTTATGGAGGAAACAAATCTCCAGACAGCTGAATGCTGGTGAAAATAGAACACCAGAAGATGCCGATGGAACAAATGTTTCTATGCCCGACTATAAATAAGATCGGATAGCAATCGCCCGCTTTAAAAATAACAATGCAACAGATCGGGACCCGACTGAGCTATTGAAGAGCTTATAAAGTACATGCATCAGATTCTTTGCAAAATTTTATCTGATGAAATCACACCCAACGATTTTAACATAAGACTTAACGGTAGCACTGGTTCTGTCAAAAGCTTTTGACACAGTCAATCATTCAGTGCTACTATCGGACAGGGAGGAATCCTTATTACCGCCAGTGTTGAAGAGATGGATCATGGACAACCTGGGTGGACGTCAATCGTCGATGGAATTTCGAGGCCAAACAAGGGTGTCCCCAGGGTGGTGTCCTCTCCCCATTACGGTTTAACTTCTATATCTCATAGCTTTCTCCTTCCCCAGAAAGTGTTTCCTTAACCTCATATGCCGATGAATGCTCAATATTGACGTCTGACTAAGATATTGATGATTTTTGTGCAAAAGTAAACGGCTACCTCGGCGACCTATTCCACTTCTTCACTACAAGACAACTACAAATACAGCCGACAACATTTTGAGCTACTCTTTTCATCTGCTGGACGAAGCACCTTTGCTGGTAACCTAGGAGCAATTGGCCGGCCGGTCGTTAACTATGCTGCACCGATCTGTGACAAACAAGACATAGTTCGAAGAAGGTACAGAACACCGCCAAAACACCGCCTTTAGGGTCGCGATAGGAAATCTTTTGATGTCGCCTGAGCATCACATGCACAGCGAAGCTTCTATGCTATGAGTTAAGAAGTATAATGCTTTGCTGTTGCTAACAGGGAGCACCCCAACACACATTTATTAGAAGCCGAACGTTCACCCAGCCACATCAAAAAGGGAGTATTCGACTTAAAGGATACAATTCAGCAACATGTGCAGCAACCGCGGACGGACGGCGTACAGACAAGGCATGAAGGCGTACAGACAGACACTAAACGCCATTCACCAGGAGTCAGTCGAGACCTTCTAAAACTGCAACGGCGTTCTCGGATTCAAACTACTACCTAAACTGCTAAGAAGCGAAGAAGTCAATGAGGGCAAGATGAAATATCTTCTGTCATTCAACAAACACACGTCACTGTTAACAGTCACAACTTTGGAGTCGTAGATAATTTCGTCTATCTCGAAAGCATTATTAAAACCAACAACAATGGCAGCCTGGAAATACAACGCAGAATTACTCTTACTAACAGCCAAAGTCCTCTCTCTACAAGTCGTTCATCGCTCCTGTGTTGATATATGGTGCGGAGGCCTGGACGATGGCATCATCTGATGAATCGCCGTTAAGAGTTTTCGAGAGAAAGCTTTTGCATAAAATTTATGGTCTTTTTATTCGGAATGGCGAATACCGGAGCCGATGGAACGATGAGTTGAACGAGATATGCGTCGACATTGATATAGTTCAGCGAATCAAGAAGCAGCGGCTGCGCTGGGTAGCTAAGAAAGTTTTGAAAGTTGACGCTTTGATAGTTTTCGATGCAGTACGCGCCGGTGGGAGCAGAGGAAGACCTACACTCCGTTGAAAAGACCAGGTAGAGAAGGACCTCGCTGTACTTGGTATTTCCAATTGGCGCCAAACAGCGAGAGGATATAATGAATGGCGCAATGAAAGTAAAGAAGAAGAAGAAGAAGAAGAAGACTATGTCACAGTGCAAGTGATCTTGCTTACACATTTCGCTTCTGGTTAAATATTTCTCAAGGTTAAACTTCATTGCTTGGTTATGTTGCTATTCGACAAAAAAAAAACGCTTAAATAAAACATTTGTGTATTTTCTTTTCATAATCTTTATTTCATGAAATACATCGCATTAATAAAAATATTACAACACTAAAGTAATAATTTCGTTTTTTTTTGTTTTTGACAAAATTAAATACCATACGCTTAGTATGTATGTATGTATTAAGTTTCATAACAAAAAAGTTAAAATCACACAGATATTGTGTTTGAGTAATATTTTGCATGAATTCGTAGTTAAAACATATTTTTTTTTAATGGTAATTATTATTAAAAATTAACAATATCGTTACACATGCCACAATAAATTGATGAAACAATTAAAAATATGCATTAAATGAAGAACATACTTAGATTTAAAATAAAGTGTAAAATAAACATTGATAAAATCATTACAAATTAAATAAGTATAATTTAATTTTTTTTTTAATTAAAGTGTATATTTAAGAAAAAAAATATATATTCAAAAATAAATGAGTTTAGAATAATAAAAACCTTGTTAGCGCATTCATTTTCGTTAAGTTCTTAATTGCAAGTCGAAATGTTTTTTTTTTGCGAAATTTTTATTTAGTTCGTTTAAAATTTTTTTTTTAATTTTTTGTTTATATTTTCAACGTTCGTTAATATTCGTTACCTTTTTGAACCTGCTTTTGCATAAATGTTTTTTTTTTTTGTTATAAATAATCTCCCAACCTCAGCTAAGCACAATTCAAACATCTTTTTTGCTTAAGTTTTGTAAATTGTTAATATTTTTTTTTATCTTCAAATTGTTGTTAGTCCCCCATTTCTTTTCTGTAAGAGTTATGGTTTAAAAATATATTTTTCAACGCCAACTCCAAAGTGTTAAAGTCCTTTTAGTATGCACTAATGTTGGACAAATATATTCATTTATATATATATATATATATGTATGATTTAAATTCATATTATTATTTTTTAATTCTGTTTCAAAAATCTATAACCAATTTCTATAGCAATGAGAAAAAATTATAGATCTGATTGTCCAGGCCCTGAAATGAGAGTGAAAAAGAAAAAAGTTGAGAATTAATTAGATATTTTATAAAAAAAAAAAACAAATCATACTTCAGTGTATAAAATATAAGAAAACACAAAAAGCTGAAATAAATAAACAAAAATAAAGGGTGGATAAATGGCGCGCAACTTGACAAGACAGACAAAGGTGTCAGTAACGGTGTAGGCTAGAGCATGGTTGGGTCTCATTTTCAGCGTAAATACAGTTGAGGTGTAATTAATTTATTGGTGCCCGAGTGTTTTCAGTACTCAGTGTTCGTATTTTATGCAACTAAATTTAATTTAGTTTACATCCATTTACTTTTTTATTATTAATTATTTTATTTAATTCATTTTGTAGCATGTTTTCTTTATTTTTATTTATTTTTTAATTTTTAAACTTTAACTTTTTTTATTTAATCACTTATGTTATATTCTGTTATATTTCAGTGAAGGTTATTTTAATTTCACCTTTATTTGATTTTATTTTATTTGAATATATTTTAATTTGTTTATAAAATTTTTAATTTGTCTTGTTTTATGTTGCTTGATTGTTTTCTTCTTTATTTAGTTTGACTTTGTTTTGTTGTGTTTTATTATCTGTTATTGGATCATTTCGTTTATTTTGTTTTATTATATTTCACATATATTTTATTTTACAATAATAAATTTTTTTGCATTGTATTATAATTTGCTAAATTTTATTTATTTTAATTTATATCTTAATTTTATTTACTAAAGTTTACATCATTTTATTTTACTGAATAGTATTTGATTTTCAATTTTATTTCATTTNTTATTTTTTTTTATTTTGCTTTATTTGAATTTATTAAATTTTTTCTTTCATTATTGAATTTTATTTTGAGTTCTCTTTATTATTCTTGTTAAATTTATATTAATTTTAATTATTTTTATTAACTATATTGTTAGATTTTATATTTTTTCTTGTGTCATTTTTATTACTGATTTGTTTTTTATTTTCATTCATTATGTGTATTTGTTATTTTTCTTAAAGCATCACATGATTTTACAAAACAGCGTACAGTGGGTTGAGTAAATAAAGCCAATTTGCGCAAACATAAGTAAGGCGGACAAAGAATTTAGCCAAAATAAATTCAAACAAATGAGCAAATACATGAATAAAATAGTTTTGTATGAGAGAAAACTTCACCTTTTTATAATTTACAAAAAAAAAATGTTTATTTAAAACTTTGCCTCTAATTTTATTTTTTTATTATTTTCATTTCATTAATGTAAAGGAAACTCAAACAGTAAAGCCATTCATAGTTCAGAAAGAATGAAAATATTTAACTATAAACTAAAATAATAATCAATAAATTTACATTATATTTAATTGTTATAAAGATAGAATTAGAAGAAAATTAGGAGTTTAAAAAGTTAATCAGTTTTAGAAGGAAAAAAACGTTGAAAATAATTAAAGAAAAAACATTTATAAAACGAATGCGGTTATAAATATCAAGTAAAAGTATAATACAGTGTTTATTTTTTTTATTATTTTTTTTATATTCAGTTTATACAGAAAAAGTATTCATTCGTTTCGTCGGCAATTCAGAGTAGGATTTTTGTTTATTTATTATCTTATTACTGAATTGCTTCGTACGCAGTAGCCAAAGGTGGAGTTATCCTCGCCATACAACAACAAAAAAATTAATTTAAATAAGAAGCGAAAATATTTTCGCTTCACTAAAAGTTCACAAAGAGCAATATGAAAGCTTTCATTGATCATACAAAGAAAGAGAGGGAAAATAAATATTTGCGACAAAATATGTATGTATGTAGAAAACGGAAATGTTTAATAAAAGCATAATAAACAATATACTGTAAATGCCAATTATATTATTTAATTGAAATCTTCACATTGAAATGTTAATGACATTGTGGTTAGCAAAAAAAATTAAATGAAATAAAATAATTTTCCAAATATTATACAAACCTTCAATTGAAAACTAAAAATTATAATAAATTTTACAAATCTTTCATTAATTTGAATTAGTAAGTTTAATTAGGAAAAATATTAGCACAGGAAAAGTTATTTTTGAAAATGAAAATGAGAAGGTCTACGCTTAATAATGAAAGTTTCAATGCTAATATTGATATGAAATATTAAAAAGAAAAAACTCTTATGAAGGTGTACTTTTTTGTTTATTTTTTTTTTTTTTTACTGAAAAATCACAATATTTTATCGCAAATATATATATATATATTTTTTTTTCGAAACATGTTAAATTTGGAACTAAAAGCCGTGTACAAAAGCAACTTAGCTAGCTAGCAGGTTTTCTTGAGAAAGTCCAATAAAGTGTTTGCTTTACTTTAGATTGGGCTAATTCGTTTGAGATCAGAACCAAAAAACTGTTACTTTGATGCAAGGAAAAGTGTGGTTGAAATGTCAGTAAATATCACAATTATTTTTGGGTCGCCCCTTTGCAGTGAGATTTAAACCCTTCGGTGCATTTCTGCCATGAAATAAAAGTTCCTCATAAAACTCCAACGGCCATTTTCCATTTGTTGGAAAAGCATCGAGACACAAACCATAAATCCACAAATTGTAGGAGGAGCTCAGTGGATATCCTGCTTTCCGGTAGATGTCTCTTTTGAAACTATAATTCACTATAAAAATGGTGGAAACATGACAGAGATGGTTCGTGGAACTAAAACATTTTTCAGTCGTCGTGAAGCACCTTGTAGGACTGGAAGACAGAAATTGGTGGACAAAATGCAGCTGGGACAAGTTAGTGATGTGGTCCAAAGTGTCGAAGAAAACTCAGTTTTGTCCATTCCTCGTCGTTCTCACGAATTGGGCATTCCACAGACAACATTGAACCGTATTTTACAGAAAGACTTGCATCTTAAGGCTTATAAAGTTCAATTAAAACAAGTACTCAAGCTGGCTGATCGTCAACAACATCGTGCTTTTGCTGATTTGGTTCTTGAAATGATCCGGAATTTCATAAAAAATAATCATCTTGACTGACAAGTCCATTTTCTCCACGTCAATAAGCAAAGTTGTCGTTCTTAGGACTTGAAAAACTGGAGATTTATTGTCGAAAAGTTTCTCCATCCTCGACGTGTAATTTGGTTTGTTGAGGTTTGTAGTGCAGCGGGGTCATTGGATCTTACTTTTTTGGAAATTAATGGATTGCCCTATTAAGAGTAATAATTTGTTATGGCCGGAATTGAATGATATTGATCTGAACAACGCTTACAAGACGGCACTACGTGCCACACTGGCAACAAAACCATCGATATTTTAAGAGAAAAGTTTCCGAAAAGATGATGGCAATTGGCTATCACGACCTTGGGCGAAATTTTTTATATACTGGAAAACCAGGTCTGTGTCTCGAATATGGTATTAATTATTTTTCTTGAAATTGGTTATGGTTTTGAAATGTCATATACAAAAGAATAAAAAAATTGAAAAACCTTCCAAATGAAGTTAAAAACTGGTGGCGTTCCATGGTTGTCTGGTATATAACCAAAGACCCCTCGGGGCCGTTGTTATGTTTGTAGCCCTGATTTAGATCCCTTCGTTGGTGTTGCTTGCATTAGGAAATCTTTTGACATAAATGGAAAGGAGAGAGGCAGTGTATTTTATTTTGATTAGCGCAAGGCTACTACCGTTGAAGCAACGAATAAGATTTTCTAGCAGAGCAAGACAGTGCCATTGTTGGATGCCTATATCGAATAGTCAGTGATTTAAAAGGAATCGCAGTTTTTGGTTGGCAGCCGAGTAAGTGTGATGTTAGTGGAAATCTAGTTTCTTAACAGTTTTCTGTCTAAAAAATTTCAAAAGTTTTCTACTCTTTTTTTTTATTTAAGAAGTTTTTTTTTTTATTGGACTTTCTCACGAAAACCAATTTATATTAACACATAGGGAAGAAGCCAGCTATTTATTAGTTAAATGGCGCAAATAAAATATATAAAGTTTTGGATTTACTTTTGGTTTTGCGAAACATAATTTTTGTTTTAGGTACCTTAGGATTTTGAATGAGCTTGACAAAATACTTTTTTCGTTGATGATGAAAATTATTTTGGATTAACATTTTGTGTTAACTGTTTTTTTTTTATTTTTTTTTTTTTTTTTTTTTTTTGTTCTGACAAAAGTTTGACGTTTTTGATAGTGACTTCGTTTAAACATCTAGACTTTTCTATGTACACTTGACTGAGGTGGTTGGTTGGTTGGTTGATTGGCTTGCTTGGCTTGATTGGTTGGTCGATTGAATGATTACTTTTTGTTTTTGTTTTTTCTTTTTTTTTTTATACAATTTATGTACATATTTACATACGATTGACTTATGACTTTTCATGCTATATACATGGGTATGTATTTTTGCATGTGTATGTATGTATATACTATGCACTGAGTTAACGAACGATCGAACGAACGAATGAACGATTTTTCTTTGTTTTTGCGTTTGCTTTTGATATTTTAATAATTTTTTATTTTCAATTTCGACGAGTATGTATAGTATGTGTGATTGTAGTTTTAAATTTTGCGTATTTTACAATTTTTTTTTTTAGATTTATTTCTCTTGAAGCATTTATAAGTTAACGAGTAGAATTATTATTTATTTATGCTTGTTAATGCATATGATTTATGTGAGTATGTTTGTGAGTTTATTGCTTGCGGTTATTTAAAGAAAATGAATAATGATTCGTAAAAATGCATAATCTGGCAGGCGTGGTTGTGTGTAAATATGTATAAATATTTTTTTTTTTACAAACTTGGCTGGCTTTAATTAAAAATATATAGAGGTGTATATATGTACGTGTATACAATAAACATTTGTTGCTTGCTTTGAGTTTATTAAAAAAATTTTAAATTACTTTTATTCACAACATTTTATGCGCTCTACTTTTCTATGTATTCTTTTAATTAATTTTTTACATTTTCCATTTTTAGTTTTTATTCACTGAGTAAAAACGGCAGTGTTGGGTTCATTGACCTGTGTGCGAGTTGGTGCTACCCATCTAATTAATCAAAGAAAAAATAAACAAAAAACCTAACGAACTCGAGTGGTTTGATTTTCCATGTGTGCACGTCGCGTTCAGCTAAGCTGTTGTGACGTCACGAAGCGGTTTTATTTTCTCATTTCTTCACTTTTTTCGACAACTGTAACTTGCGCTCTCTTTTCTATACATTCATAACCGATTTGAATTTTTTTTGAATTTGCATCACCGCTATTTTCATACATTCTTACAGTTAAACTCTCTATATCTACACAAATATTTTACTTAAGCATTTATACAGTTTTCCCCAGTTTTAATTTTTTGGCGACGCTCTTACGCTTTTGTGCCGCCACCCTACATAACCTCAAAGACGTGCTGCTAAACTTTACGCCAACGACTCACTGAACCTTCGCGCGATTGCGAGAGACAGTCGGGACTTTTGCTATTTCGTGTAAAGATCTCGGGTGATTCAGTCACACGTGCCAGGTCTCGATTTACTGTTTTCGAACTGAGCACACGTGGACAGCGTACAGACCAGGGACTACGTCGCGGTACATCTTGTTGTGCACGATATGCTTTTGGTGGCATGCCATCAGCTTTGGCGGTGGCGCCGCCATTCGTATGCGACCATGTGTCGTAGTAGTCGGCATAGCTTTTATCGGTTTTGTTATCACCCGGTGTAGGTGCCGGTGTTGTTTCGACTGATGTATTTTCCAGTGAGTCGAGCTCTTCTTCGAGCACACGTTTGGCTGCCGCCTGTAGCTTCTCCATGGACATTTGTCGTAAATGACTACTATCGCTTTTCAGTAGTAAACTTTGTACCAGTTCGTTGACTAGTTTATCGCTGATACCACGTTGGTTTGAGGGTTGTCCCATAATGGGTGAGGCAGGACTGTTTGGCGTGGAGGGATTATCCGCATCTATACTTGTGTTTTTACGCAACGGTAGAGAGAGGCGCTCGCGTCGTTGTATCATTGTTTCGGCATCGGTGATTGCGTTCGGATTTTGACGACGCGTGATGGATACGTTGTGTACTATTTTGCGTCGGCTGGGTTTGAATGCACATTCATCGGCGAGCTCTTTGCTCAATTTATCCTCATCAAGTGGATCGTTGTCGTCCTGTAACAATTTGAAGAGTCTGGAATGTGTGGCAGCGCGTTGATAACTGCTCATTTTACGCAGTTCGGGGAAACTCTCTGATTCGGTGTCTGTTTCTGAGAGTGGTTTATTCATATCGGTAACACCGGAGTCATCTTCCTCCATTTCGGATTCCGAACGTTGTGAGCTGTTGCGCGAAAGTGTACCGCGCGCTGTGCAGCTCTCAACAGAGAGAGATTGCGTTTTATTTTCATGTGTTTTCTTTAGTTTGTTTTGCGATTCCGGCGCGCCGATTTCGAAAGCAGAGATTCTGTCGCGTACGGAAATTTTGGTTTCTTCTTTCTTCAGACCTAAATCGGGCAGACCGTTAGGCAAGAGTTTTTTCTCCACAATGGGTTCAACATAAACTTCAGGCAATTTCTGCTCGAAATTAGTTGGCGTTTTATTGCGTTCTGCTATTTCCTCAGTGGCAATTTCCGCGCCAACACTTTTTCCCCGGGTTTGGTGCATTTCAACTTTTTGGCGTTTCGTTTCGTTATTCATACTCTCGGGCCCAACACTTTTACCTCTGTTAATATTCTGTGCAACTGTTGTTGTGTAGAAGTTATTGACTGCATTTTTAAGCCCATCTTCTTCACTGTTCTTGTTGCTCTCCACTTCGATGAGTGAATTTCTATTCGAGGCCCGTCCTCGTCGTAATTGTCGCTCTGCACTCGCCTCCTTCTGCTCGTCAATTGAGGTGGTGAAGAATGCCATAGCTTTGCGGTAATTAATACGCTTTACGTTTGCCTCGTCCGCATCGTCGGTTCGTTCGAGTACTGGACTCTCTGGCACTACAGCGGCGGGGATTTCATTATCTTCCTTGTCATGTATCCATTGCTCCAAGTCTTGGTATGGCTTGCTGAACTCATTGTCTTCCGCGGGTGGCTCCCAAATACTGGCTACAATCGGTTCGTGTAGTGAAGCTACTTCCCACATGTCACTGGTACTGTTATTAATAAATTCATTCTTCTCTATGGTTTCCTTTTCCATTGGTATTTCATTGAATTTCGCTGCCAACATTTTCTCCTCCTCCACAACTGGATCAATATATACGGGTTCATCACCCTTCGCAGCTTCTAATGCTGCCCAGACATTCAAGTCCACAGTTGGCTCGTCAGGCAAAGTAGCTAGGAAAGGTTTGGGCAATACCTTTGCGTATGGTGTTTCATCTACAGAATCCTTACGCTCACGGTTAGCCCAGAAGGAGGCAGCTTTATAGAAGTTCACGTCATCGGTTGTTTGTTGTTTTGCTTCAATTTCCGCCCAGAAGTCAATCTCTTCATCGGTATCAACCTCTCGTGGTTCTTCGGGGTAGAGTGTGGGATCGTAAGTATTTGGAGTTTGCAGTGTAAGCCCACTTCGTTGTTCCTCATTCTCCCAGAAGTTGACTTCTACATCACTAGCTGGTGTTGGAAGTTCTTTCGTGTTGTTCGTTGATGACTTTGGCGTTGTTGTAGTTATTGCAGCTTTTGCCTTTTCGACAGAGGCCCAGAAGTCTTCCTCCTCTTCTTCTACTTCCTCCTCTTGCTCTTCCTCCTTCTTTTCGACTACTGCATTACTTACTACTTTCACTTTTCCGTTGTCCACTTCATCTTCAGAATCGCTCTCTTCGCTTTCGCTTGAGTCTTCATATGCTAGTTCTTCAATAGGTGGCGTATAAAGCTCTGCTTGGCATGCAGCTGGCAATATTTCCGTTCTCGAATTGGATATTAATGGCTGGTAAGTAACTTCATCCACTCTTTTACGCTCCAAATCAGTAGCGACTTTGGATTCGGGTTTCGAATATGCCGCCATTTCCGTATTGGTTTTAGCATGCGATTTCGTAACGGAGACGCTACTTTGTTTTGACTTTTCAATTTCAGCCCAGAAATCAATTTCTTCTGCCTCAGCTTCGGCTGCAATCTCTTTCTCGCCGTCTAAAACCATAGCGATTGGCTCCTTTTTGCTTTGAATTTCGTTATCTATTCCTTTGTTTTGTGTAACGTCCGGAGCTTGAGTTTCCTCATGTGTTTTCCTAGTGGCGGCAGCAAATGTAGACCAGAAATTGTCTTTGGCATCTGCTAGTTTTAATTTGGGTACTGGTTTTGGTAAGTCATCCTCGTCTCGGCCAGCCCAAATATCGTCTACTTCAGGTTCTGCCTCTATTGAGGCAGAGGTAGGGTTGGTGGCATTGCTTTCTTCTTTCTTCTCTTCTTCTTTGGGCTTTTCTGTTTCTGTGGCTACTGGTTTCTCCGCTACTTTTCCCCAATAGTTCGCCGACTGTTCCATCATTTTTTGCGCTTGCAGTTTAGTGGCGCGCAATGTGGCAAAGAAGTCCAAGTCGTCGCTCGGTATGACTTGTGTCACTGTTTCCTTCTCGAAATCAGTTTTTTCTTTCATTAAATTCAATTGCATTTTGTTATGTATATCAGGCTCTTTAATTTCTTCTCTCAACGCTGCATTCTTCAGCGTTTCTGCTTTCGTCTCATTTCTAGTGAACGCCGCTATATTGTTAGTCACATCATCCCTTCTAGTCTGAGCCATGAATTTATTGCGCGCATTCAATGAGAATGAGAATGAGATATCCTCTTTACTCGTGGCAGTTAGCTCGCTAGGTGGTTCTGGTGTTGGTAGCTCTTCGATCGGATATGCATCTGAAAGACGACGCGCCTCTGGTTTGCGTTCTAATGAAGCGGAACGTGAGGAGCCGCTCAAACTGATTGTTACACTTACTTCACAATCATCATCATACTCATGTGTCGCTGCTGCTGCCTCGTCCTCAGAATCTTCATTCTTTACATCGGCAACAACAAAGGCTGCACTACGTTTGCTCTCCGACGTAATGCTATGTCGCCGCTCTTCGATTTGTGATTTACCCACCTCAACTGTCGCCACATTATCATGATTGAAAGAGAACTTGAGTGGTAGACGTACTGTTACTGAGGTGGAGTCCTCATCAGCATCATCATTATTGTCATTCTCTTCAATCTGCCCCTCAAGAGTTTCTTCTTTCTCCACAGCAGTGGCATCGCTGTTATTGGAGCCCTCACATCTTATAATCGTATTCTGTTTTTCGCTACTGCGTTCCATTTCGCTCTCCTCCTCATAGATTACACTCAAGTTATCATAGTCTATATCATCATTTTCCTCAATGTATTCGTCCAATTCAAGCTCTTCAGCAACGTCTTCTTCGTTATCATCCTCATCGAAAATGTCACTTTCGCCATCAGCTGTTGTTACATCGTCCTCATCATCCAGTTCAATCGTTTGGATTTTACGCTCCTTGTACATTTGTATATTTGTCACCGATTTGATTGCCTGCAATCCGGTGGTTTCAACACATTTTGGTGTTGCATCGGAGTCACCCTCATCGTCGCTACTGCCATCTAAACTATCGGAGCTCATTTCGGTTTCAGAAGCCAATGTTACGATGGGCACCGGTACCGGCGAGGCGTTATCTGTTGGTGACTTTTCGTCAAATTCCTTATTACGTTCGCCCGCGTAAGTCTTTTCGACATCCTTACTCATGTTGAGGTTATGTTCGACAATCTTAGACATATGCGCCAAACGTTGTGTGAGTGCATCGATATAGGAGCCCTCACGGTGTTCGCGCCGCATCGGTGGTGCTTTCACCGAGTCATCACTACCAAGTGAGACCTCTTCGATCTGCACGGCATCACTGCGTTTTGCTGGTTCGGGTTTCTCGACTTTTATATGATGTTGTAATATAACCTGTGAGGGCATATCATCGGTGCTTGGTGTAACTATTATATCGGGTAAGACGCTGCTGGCGCGACTTGACGACGTACTCCCACCATAGCTGGGCGCTACCGGATAGGGGTATGGGTATGGCGGCACATAAGCGGGGTATGCACACTGCACTGGGTCGTGATATGCATTTTGCGAATCAAAATCATTTGGGGTTTGAGTGTTGCGATGTGGCGTATGCATGTGAGAATGCTGGACGCTATGTGTTGGTGGCGGTGGGGGTGGAGGATAATAAGGATAATAGTAGGAGTAAGGTCCAGGAGGATATGCGGGATGTTCGTTAGTTGGCGTCTGCGATGATGATGGAGGTGGAGGGGGTGGCATATTGTAAGCATATGGCCACGCTGGTGGATATGCGTCAGTACCGTTATTTGCTGGCATAGCTACTGGTGGATACCAGGGATATGGATATGGATAACCATAAGCAGGAAATGGATGTTTGGGTATGGGATAAGAGCTAGAGTCGGAACAAAGCGATGAAATGGAAGATGAAGATGATGTGGTGCTGGGTGCATGTGTTGGATGTGTGTGTGTATTGCTAATTTCACTGGCGCTTTCAATATTTTTATTATCAACATATTCATTTACTTTCTTAGCAAAATTGTTATTATTGAGAATTTTGTTGCTTTTATGACTCTCATTAGCTTGCAAAGAATTTTCGTTCAATTCAACACTATCTGTAGATGCCAGATCGGTTAAAATATAAGCATAGTTTTTTTTAGTTTTTAAATTTTTGAAATACAATTTTGTTTGAAAAAAAACGAATATTTTTTGTTTATTTTTTATGTATTTTTTTTTTTTTGCATATTTGGTATGGAAAGAAAGTAGAGAGAAGAAAAAATAGTATAATTAACGAGATGAATGCTATAGAAATGTGTAAAAAATGTAAGAATTTGGAATTTAGATAAATTTAAATATATACAAACATTTAAAATTTAATTAACCAATTAAATGCTAAATACAAAAATATATTTATGTAATGATTAAGTGAGCAGTTTTTATGAATGTGAATAAGTGAAGTTTTTAGTGAATGGAACCATTAAATGACTTACGAAAAAATTGAAAAAAAAAATTCATTTAGGGGTGTGTCATGAGAGCGTTATTTAATTTTTTTTTTTAAATTTAATTAAGATAATTTTTGTACATTAAAATATTTTTTTGGAAATTAAAATAATTTGTTTTGGAAATTCAACATAATTTTTACTTTATTAAAAATATACATACACTGCGGTCAAAATAATAGCAATGTTAAGTACTGAAACCAAAAAGTGAAAATACCGGGGAGAATAAATATAATATTTCCCATAGTGTTGCGAATACCGTTACTTTTAGATTATTAAATTTTTCTCCAGGACTTACAGTACCTTTTTAAAATATTATTACTTTACTAATGAAGAGTCAAATAATAGCAGTCTTTCGATGAATGTGAGCGTAATAAGTTCTTTAGTTCCACTAAAAGACCTTTAAGGGACACACCTAGTGTGAAAATTCAAAAAAAAATCGACCTTTATCTCATATTTCGGCAGATTACACCTTTAAAACTAACATATTAAAATTTCAAATCGATGTCTCGAATCGTTTTTGAGTTATAGCAATTTAAAGTGCAGCCACTCGGCAGCTAGAGAGTCTCATTAGCTACGAGTGAAAACGATCATTTTATCTTTAAACGCGTTTTTCTCGAAACAGTATTTTCCGAATTTGCTGCAGTGATTACTCAAAAACAAATGATCCGATCACTATCGATTTTTTTTTACACGTTCTATATATAGTTCTCCGTACAATGACCTATCGATTTTTGATCTGATCAAAAAATCGAAATTTGGCAGGCCAAAAACGACCAAAATTTTGTGTAAAATTTTGAAATAACTGATAAAGTATTTTTTTTAATATCAATTCCCAAATATCACTTTTTTTAGGCCCTTACACTAGGTAAAGCCCCTTAAAAAACTAATTTCGTCACTTCATCAATCATTAATTTCATCATGCTTCAAATAGGACGAAAAAATCTGCATGAATTCATCAAACAACATTTCTGCAGTAAGTAAAACTTACAAAGAAATTCAAAAACTGATCGACTTTTCAGCTAAAATGATTTCGAATGCATTGGAATTTAAGAACAAAAAATAAACTCGCCGCAGAAAGTACACTATGACTTCACGAAGTGAGTCTCGATTGGTAAGGGCATTGTCAAAAGTATACTTTGCTAACAGCTTATGAAAGAGAAGGACATAATTAACTATAGAAAGAAATGTAAGAACTATTAGAGGAACGTTGAGAGTAAGGAAAAGTATAACATTATGCACAGATTGAGTTTCCCGTAAGAGTATTTGATGCGGTCCACCTAAAAGTGGCGGAATATTGTTTGTTCCCACGAAAGTAAAATTATTATTCTTGGTCGAAAAGGTATACGAAAAGACGTTAGGCGAAAACTCGAAACGGAATACGACGCCCCGAAAAACTTTAAATACCATTAAACATGTCGAATCAGGTATAATGATTTGGGTTTGCCTTTCATATTATGGTGTAGGACCCATATAAAGCGTTGGAGAGCATAATGGTTGGTCAAAAATATGGCGAAATATTGGCTAAAGTGAATAAAACACGTGCAAGTTGCTTAAAAACAACTGAGAATATTGCTGCTGTAGTCCAAAGTTTTGAAGAAAACCCAGGTTTATGCATACCTCGTCGTTGTCTTTGGATCTTGGCATACCACAAACATCATTCACCGTATTTTTGCATACAGACTTAAGTCTTAAGGCTTATAAAGTTCAGTAAACACAAGAACTTAAGCCGGTTGTTCATCAACAACGTCGTATCTCTGCTGATTTGGTCCTTGAAATGCAAGAAAATTATCCGGAATTTCATTGAAAAATCATTTCAACTGATAAGACCCATTTCCACCGCAATTGCTACGTCAATAAGCAAACCTGTCGCATTTGGGACTCGGAAAACCCAAGACTTTTCAATTAGACTCTACTTCCTCAACTTTTTGTTGCGGTTTATGGTTCGCCAATATCATGGGACCGTACTTTTTTGAGAATGTGGCTGGAGCAACAGTTACGGTGATGAGAGATTATTAAACATTTTTTATGGCTGGAATTGAGGGTTTTTTATTTGGACAGCGCCTTCTTACTACAATACGATGCAACGTCTCACACAAGCAGCGAAACCTTCGGTCTTTTGAGGGAAGGGTTTCCGGACCGTGTTATCTTTCGAAGGGGTGATAATTTTGTAAGAATTGAAACCAAATAATAGTAGGACTGCTATTTTTTTGACTCTTCTACGTCCAAAAAGGTTGGAGTCCCTGCAATACATTTTTTTTTTGGTTTTAATAATTATTACTGTTATATAAATATTTATGAGATCATTATTTGTTTAATTTTCAAAAAAGTAATCATGCACATTATTATGATATATATTTTTAAAAATAATAATTGTGAGTTTTAAAAAATATAATTACATTAAAAAGTGGTTCATAAATTATTTTAACCATTACCATTATTTATTAATATTTGCATATCATATTCACAAATATATGTATGTTATAAGTATTCAATTCAAATCTGATGCAGCCCAAATGAATTAGTTTTAGATTTTTTTGTATAAATTTATTAACTATTTAATGTTGTAATTATGTAAAAAAAAATAACATAAAAAATCAATAAATTAGAAACGTTCCAACAACGAAGCAATCATTTATTGGTAGTAACTATATGTACGAATATATGCCACTTTATGTATGTATTAAATGCATACGAGTGCATATGTACGTAAATAATTATAGACTAAAATATTTAAACTTTTTATTTAAATTATTTATTTTTTTGTTTATTTTTTTTCTTGAAATATTTGGAAAATAAAATTAAGAATTTCTTTTTTGAAACTAAAAAGGTGAAATTTCTCTTGAACTAAATAAAAGAGGTTTTAGATTATCTTTAATAGTTATTTAAAAAAATAAATAGTTTGTTTAAATAAATAAATAGTTTCTTTAAATAAATAAATAGTTTTTTAAATAAGTAAATAGTTTCTAAGTAAGTAAATAGTTTATTTAAATAAATAAACAAATAAAAATGTGCGAATAGTGGTATAGTGTATATGAGTTTTTTCTGTAAGACATCCTTATACATATACATATATCCTTGAGCAAAATTATCAAGGTGAAAACTCCGCTTTTTTATTTAACTAATTAAATTTAAAAATGCTTAAATAATATTTTTTTATTATGTTTATATGTGGGATTAGGTGATTTATATGTTTGTTTATTTGTTGTGACGGTATCAGTAGAGAAAAGCTTCATTAGAATATTATTCTTTATAAATATTTTTGCCTCACATTTGAGGTTAGGTTCACCAAACTACAAATTAAATGTTGATTTTTTAGCTATGTCAATGGTCTTAGTGAGAGGCGCGTTCGGTGAACATTTTATTTCACGTTCGGAACCGGTCAATTGTCCGCCTAGATCGTGTCATTTAACGCCTTTAGACTACTTTTTGTGGGGCTATGTTGAATCTAATATCTATACAGACGAGCTCCCTTCAATTGAAGCATTGGACGACAACATTGAAGCATTTATTTGTGAGACATCGACGGAAATTTAGGAAACAGTATGCCCAAATTGGACCAAGCGGATGGTCCAACATTTGCGTGAAATAATCTTCAAACATTTAATTATATGGATCGTACTATCGATTCAAATAAAGATTTCATGGATTTTTCTGAATTTTATGTGTTTTTTTTTTTTGAAAACTTTTCTATAGCTCTTAAAAAATCACCCTTTATATGAAAACTGAAGTAAAAAAGAGATTTTTTACATGAAGGAAGTGGACAGAGGACGCGCTTCTGTGAGATCCTCATGGTTAAACAAAACTTTTACAATGAGATCGTTTTTAAATCGGGTATATAACGAGTAATGAAATTGCGGACAGATTTACTAAGAAGGGTAAAAGTACTTCCATTTCTCTCATTAATTAAGATTTTGATTAGGAAGCGAGCTTAGTACATTACAAAGTCCATGGAGATTCGTTATAGTTTCTTACAGCTCATAATCTATTGGTTAAAAACCCAGGTAGCGTGTCAACCCTAATGAGAAGAGGAACACTAACTTCTGTTATTTTCTAAAAAAAGGGTTCAAAAACAATTAAATTTTTTGGTTTGCTGGCTGTAAAAATGTTTCAAATGAGATGGAAGAAAGCATAAAAAGTTCACAAAAATCGAATTCTCGAAAATTGAAGTTGCATGAGTTAGCTGACACGGTAAAAATATCAATCGAACGTGTTGGCTTCATATTGTTTGAACACAATAATCGGCTGGAGAGATTATGTCCTCGGTATTTTGGAATGAGCGGGGTATAATATTTATCGACAATCTTACGAAGGGAACTTTCAACAACAGTGAATATCAGAGGTTCTATTGGAACGTTTGAAGGCCGAAATAGCAACCAAAAGTCAACAGAAACTATATGTATTGAACCACAAACTGTTCCCACGTGCTCCGCAATGGGTCTTAGTGACTACTGGCTGTTCGCACCCATAAAAAAAGCTCACCGGCAAGAAGTTTCTCTCTAATGAAAAGGCTGTTGCTGAAGCTGAGGAGGCCTATTTTAAGGCAAAAGATAAATCGTACAACAAAAACGGGTATTAAAATATTAGAAGAGTGCAACTGGAGTAATTGTGTTGCGATTGATGGAGGACTTTTTAGGCCATGTGTGAACTATCATATCTCTTTCTACCATTATTGATAAGGGATAGTTTTTTGGAAGAAGACAAATGAACTAAAAGTAAACCTAAACTACATTAGAGGAGACCCGAGGTCGCGGTGGCCGAGTGGTAAGCATTGCGTATTGACATTATCCAAAAAGTTATGGAGAATTAATTTAGATATAAAAAAATAAGTAAAAATTTTTAATTGGGGTCGCGCCGAGTGTATTTCGGACATGAAATAAAGGCTCCTCGTAAAAAAACCATCAGCCGTTCGAAGGCGGCGGAGTATAAGCTGTAGGTCGCTCCATTCGATGGAAACACATCAAGACGCAAAAACCCTAAATTGGAGGAGGAGCTCGGCCGAAAAAATCATTTAAATATGGAGAATAATGTAATCAAATGCCGGTTAGATGCGGGCGAAAGGTCATCACAAAAAGAAAACGTGTAAATGAATCCCTAGACATATTCGAACGATCATATATTTAGTTGGCTAAAATTCTTATTTTGAAAAATTTATTCGAAATAATCTTAGATGGAAAACTCATCTCGAATCAAAACGCGGTGCGGAAACTACAAGAAAAGCTTTAACTACTCTAAATGTATGTAAACTGGCAAAATATGGTCCACTGGATATCAATGGCGGTGGTACGGCCCATTTTTATCTACGGCGTCACCACTTGGAATCTGCGCAAGATATTGAAAGTGAAATAGAGTTGAGCGATCCACAGCTGTTCTTATTAGACTCCATCGACTCGGTCAAAGGGACTAGAAAACCTTCTAAGCCGCTACGGCAAATTTCAGGCGAGCTGCAACGTAGTTAGCCTGAACGCAACTCAGACTTAGAATTATGGATATATAAAGCAGGCCCGGATACTATTTTCCACATAAATTCTGTAGTGGTAATCTCTTGGAGGGACGCAAGGGAAATTTTAAATGTTCTAAATAAAAGAGCTATATTATAGACGTGGTAGACGACTTTGTGAAAGAAGAAATCGTCTTAACTATGATAATATAAGTTCTGCATAAGATACGTCAAAAAATAAAGCTGGTATTCCCTAAAAGGACCAATAACATACGGCTTGACTAAAGCACTTGTAACGCGGCAAGGCAGTTGTGGACAGCGCTAGACGCTAAGAAGTCAAGAAATATAATTTTTCTGGACTAGTTCCTCTAATACTTTTGCAACTGGCACAATAATGGAACACTGTATAAGTGTTATTCACGTCCGAATAGAGCGATGCTCCTCAAATGACTTTTGTCACAGCTGCGAAGACATTAATGAGAAAGATTCAGGAACTTTCTTGGGAAATACTAATTAGACAGGCTCGCTGAGCTAGCATTGAAAAACCGACAGCACTTATTAGACGTCCAAAAGGTTTTTCGTCATGGTCTCACAATGAGCCAAAAGCCCTAAGCGCGCAATCTCCTAGCCGGCAGCCAGATGAACTCAATTGAAGCGAGTTTTGTCCTTTCTATCTTCGATAACTTTTTATGAAGCTCCAAGTACTGATTAACCGTCTAGTAATTAGCAAAAGTTATTGATCACATACACTTAATCAGTCGTTTAAATGTTAATTCGAAAAAATAATAATATAATTTATAATAAAATTAATAAACTTCATCTGCGTAGGAAAGAGACTTACCAGCATTTTCTGGTGTTGTCATCGCTTGCAAAATTTTAAACGATCGACTTGGTATTGCGCTACCGGTATATTTTTTCGGTTCGGGTACTTGTTGTTCACTGGGATGGACGTATGGTTGTGGCATGTCTAAAATTATATTTTGCAATTAATTTAAAATTACAATATTTCAAAATTTTCTCTCTACACAAAAACACATTGCTTCAATACAACACTACTACTACTACTACACTACACTACAGTACAGTCCAACAAGCTTTCGGTAAGCTCACCATTGATATTGTTGTAAATGGTGTGTTGCTGTGAACTTTTGAAAGAAGAAGCATTACCTAAAAGAAAAGATAACAAAAATTTTATATAAATTTAGGTGTTGAAATGTATGAAGACAAAATTTTGATTTTGTAAAAATTTCTTTATGTATATAGTATTTATGTATGTGTGCAAAAATGTAACTGTGTTTTGTTTTTTGTTTTTGGGTAGGTGTGCTGGTGTGTGCATGTTAAAAGTATTAATGTGCTTTTATTAAAAAAAAAGCTACAAATTTTCCATTCACCAAATAACATTATTATTATTATTATTATTATTATTACTATTATTATTGTTCTTATAAAGCATTAACTAAAAGGCAGCTTTATAATTTTGTTGATTCAATTTTTTTATTAAAAAAAAATGTTAACTCACAAAACTGAAAGCTTTTTGAACAACAGCGCGTTAAAAAGCTTTGCAGCAATCAAATGAGTTAAATTCGAATAAGCCGAGCTCACACCCGCTTTACCTTTTAGTTAAGACTCGTTAATAAGAAAAGCACAATATTATTACTCTACATATTTACAAGATAAGAATGGAGTTGGTTCACCACTTTAAATATGAAAATTTGCGCCTGACTTAAAAAACAGCTTTCGCCTTAAGTTCTCTTACACAAAAATAGCTTTGACAGCTTTCAAACTAAAGCTTTTATTTTTTTTTATTGTATTTTTGATTTTATTTTTTTATTGTATTTTTTTAACTCTTCCTCGCACATTTAACTTTAACTCCTCAAAAACTTCTACGCTTTGCACCTCTCGCTATGTTTTTTGTTGATCGCCCTTAAGTGTTAAGCTTTTCCGGGCTTTTCACCCACCTTGATTCCATGCTTGTGGTGATTGTGACTGCTGTGACTGTTGTTGTTGTTGTTGCTGTTGGTATTGTGGATCGGCTGCAATTTGCATACGTCTCATTTGTTCAACATTCGGTTGTTGACGCGCCTGTTGGGCACTCATTTGTCTCGCATATTGTGGTCGTTGTAATTGTGGCTCTACATCGGCTGGACTCTCCACTTTCCTATCATCTCCGCTGTTAGTGTCGTCAATGGTGTCAGTGATTTTTTGCAAAATTCTAAAGGATTTCGATTGTATGGGTGACGAGCGTGGATCGCTAAAAGAAGTGGGCGAGTTGCTGGTTAAATGTTTTAGTGATGAAGTGTTTTTAGTAGCGCACATTGTGGGTTAGTAGTACAAGAAAAAAAAAAAAAAAAAAAAACATGTACAGATATGGTGATAGTAGTCGAACAATAGCTGTGCGGATATCTACTCGTATAAGAATCGTGTTTGCAAATGTGTGAAAGTGATAGTTCTTCGAGTGTTTTACTAACTGCGCTCACGAGCTTAATGTCACTGTAGAGGCTAATTGAATGTGAGCTTTCGCTTTAGCAGGGATAGCTTCAAAAGAATAGACTGTTATATTGTAGTGTTTGATTTTTTTTTAGAACAAAGTGATTTGTAAAGACAAGTAGACTTCTCTAAAAGCTTAATCCCAAAGCTTAATCAAAAGAATTTTATCCAAAATTTCTGTTTTATATTATTTTTTCACTTAATAGCTTTGATGATTTAAGTTTTTTCTCTGCTATAAATATGCGTTACTTTCCGGGCAAGCTCAAGGGCCTCTGAAAGTCCTGCTTGTAAGGATTTAATCTTTTAGCGCAAATTGTATTACTTCAATATATAATTATTCAATAATTTATTTTCTGGAAAAGTTCCATAATTGTTAACTTCCAAAGGTTCTACGGTAAAAAAATTTAAATTTTTTTCCGCCACACCTGTAAACTTAAGTTCTGGTAGTTTTTCTTTTTGAAAGCTTTTAGAAAGTCTGAGATTATTTAGATTTAATTTTCTCAAATAAGGCTTAAAAACCATTTTTTGAGAGCTTTTCAATGAAAGCTTACTGAAACTTTAATTTTTTATTATTTCCGAAAGCTCATTGAAGACTCTCGTTGTGTAAATATGAAAGTTTTGTATTGAAAAGTAATAAAAATTTAAAATAAAAATAATATTAATATTAAAAGAAAATTATAAATTCTCAGGACTGGGAGGAAACGTAATTGTAGGCTTAAATGAACTTCTGAAAATGGGTATTGGTATTATAATCCTGGAATTCAAAGACGATGATTAAAAATTTAATTATTCTCTTGCATAAAAATTGGCAAAATCCCAATTTGATAAAATAGTGCAAAACAAATAACGAAACACGTGATTTTTTTTTTTCAAATTAAACAAAATAAATTTTTATGAAGTTAAATCCGTTTTGTTTGATCTAATTATTTATGACACCGTTAAATATGATTTTATGATACAAAACAATACTATTAATATCAAAGAAAGTTTTTGTCTTCTACTTCGTCATGCTAAACGCAATGAAAAGATATGAAAAACAACTGACACGTGACACATGACACAAACAATTTTATACACTTTGCACACTACCTGAGACGATTCTTTCGATACCGTATTTCCGCCTCAAGTGGACAATCGTAAACTACCAGATTGTAGTTTTCACTTGAATCATCGTTAAAATAGAGGCAACAAAAAAAAAAGTAACAAAACGAAGAAAAGATAAGTGTTAATAAGAAAGCGCAAGTTAGTGAAAGCTTTCAGTTGTAAAATGAATGTTTTAATATTTCCAAAAAAATTAATTATATGAAAAAAATACATACATACAATGGTATGTAAAATGCGTGCCGCCGAAAAATATGAATTCAATAGAGCTGATCAAATCGTCAAGAAAATAAAACGAACAACAAAAAATTGCGAGCTTTCGATAATGAATACTCGCTAAGCTTTCACACTGCCGAAAACTTACTTTTGCAAAACGATCGGCGATGGTGAAATCGGGCCACGTGTGCCCTCACCTTCCATTGAGATGGGTATAATGCGTGAACGATTTGCGCTGGCGCCAACATTATTATTGTTGTTATTCGTAAATTGCTGTTGTTGTTGTACAATGCGTGGCGCATTGAGTTGTTGTGTCGGTGACATCACGCGTTGAGCCGATGCTGGCTGCTGTGCACCAGCCGAGGCTGGATAATTGTTGTAACCTTGATCAACGAATTGATTTGGCGAACGGACCACAAAGCTGCTCGGTGCTGGAGGAAGGTAGATGAGAAGAAAGGTAAATATCCGGAAAATTGCAAAAATCTTCATAAAAAATATCCCTTTTAGTACTTACCAGTGGTGACGCCACCGTAGCTGACATTGAAGTTTGGTTGTTGCGATGTATTCGTTGGAGTTTGCTCCAATTGTATGGGTATGATGCGTTCCTGCAAAAAATATTCCGTTATAAAACAAGTGGCAATACTAAGTTTTGCCTTAAAGCACTTCATTGTGCTATTTTTCTAAGCTGTAAAAAGGAATCCAACTCCACTTACCCTTGGACCAGTTGCTCCTTGAGCTGCTGGCGCACTATTGGCATTGGCATTCAGGTTGATCTGCAAACGTAAGCCAGTGTTACCCACACTATGACTACCGAAATTTCCTGGCGCTGCGGCAGCATAACCGTTACCCTGCTCGGGCCGATAGCCGTAGGGTTGTGGTTGTGCTTGCTGTTGTTGTGAATAGTAAATTGGCTGCTGCTGCTGTTGCTGTTGTTGCGGCTGCTGTGATTGTAGTGCTGCTGTCGGTGGAGGAGATTTCATGCGATGCAACGATGATGGCACTACATTGCCATTCTCTTCGGGACGCGCCCATTCTGGTTGTTCATTGTTTTTCGGCTTGCTGCTCAACCATGGTACCGTTGAACGTAATGGTTGGCCTTGTTGTTGTTGTTGTTGTTGTTGTTGCAGGTGCGGCGGTATTTGGCGAATTGGTGATTCGCGTAGTTGTTGTTGTTGTTGCTGTTGTTGAAATTGACGCACAACATTGGGTGCTTGGGGCTCAGTGGGCGGTGCCAGTGGTGCGATGTAGAGTGAGCCGACGTTGGTCTGCAGAATATTCCAAAGTTAAAGGATTTTATTAAGTCATTAAGTCTTTTCGAAAAAGGGAGAAGGTTTACAGGCAAAACAGAGCCTCATAGCATGTTCTTCAATCAATATCGGATCTTAAAAGCTTCTAAAATGAGCTGTGCCGAAATATCGTAAATTATGTACAAAATTTATCAGAAACGATTCGGGGAGCACAGAAGTTCTATCTCCGACATTCTGCCATCTAGCCTTCTGATCATTTGCAAGTAGCGTCCTCTGACGGCTCTTTATCTTTCACCTACATTTCTAAAAACTTTTTCCTTGCTTTCTTTCCACAACTCTACCTCATGAATTATCTTGCATATTTAACTGTCCGTGGATGGGGTTTATCCGGATAGAGTTTTGACGCGTCACCATCCGCTAACCAGCGAATATATAAATTATGAAAATTAGTTTTTAACGAGTGACCCTCTACCCTCCGCAGGGTTGAGCTGCTTACCATAATGAGTAAGCACAAACCTACATTTAGGCGGACGAACTCCTCCTCAAAAATCTGGGGTGCCTCTTAACGTTTTTTCAATAGTTTCTGCTAAAACATCTCCTAACGACTGATTATATTAAGTGAAAAGCTTTTTTTTCATGTGAGAATTTTAGCAAAGGTGTTGACATTCCCTGACGAGTGGCGGACACAATTAGAAGGTCCTACCTACAGCCGATATTCTTTCTTGCAGACCCATTCAAGGTTCGGTACTTATTGGTTTCCAAGTATTTTAAGGAGTAAAACCACTCTAGGATTTTGGAATACTCCATTTTTTTTTTGCTCACAGGGTATCTTTGGGTCCTAGAAATGAATGGAAAGTGAAAAAAAGATCCATGATAATAGACCAATTTAATGGGCCCTTGTTTTATCCTGTCTTACTTGAAAAAAAAGTGGATCATGGAGGAACACTTAAGATCCTACTTAAGGTCCTATCACAGTGGAACGTACTACCAAATTATTGTTGGGAAGTATAGATGTCAGATATCATATCCACAGGCTAAGTAAAGTGGAATCGGCTAAGTGCAGAGCATGCACCGAAGATGGCGAAACGGTGGAATATTACTTTGCGAGAGTCCGACCTTCAATGGATGGAGATGTCAAATCTTCAAATATGCCTGCAGATCCTACCTTCCGGAAGTGGGTACCAACAGTTAAAAAAAAAATAATCGAAATCGATCAAAATGTTCGTGAAAGTATTGTTAGGTTATGGGAGGAATACAACGAGCTTACTCTTTGCTTAGGTGTGGCGTTTTGGTCAGGTCCTCAACTTCTCTGTTCGACAACCAACCAGGCATTCTGTAATAAATCATTGTAGCACTATAGGGGTTATATATACCTACAATAGTAATTCTGCGAGGAGATACTAACCGATTTTGGTGGATGGCAAGAATGGGAGTACTTCAAGGAATAACTCCGCCACCTCGCAAAACTTTTTAAGCTCATCTGTGTAGATTGAGTTGGTGTTCTCTTCTACTACAAAGCCTCTCCTCAACCAGGAACTAATCAAATCTTGTCTTGGGAGGATATATATTCATAATTGTAAATACAGAAGTGATTTTAGCTCGAACACCACCTCCAATTTGTGGTGTCGCTCTTGATGTTTTGCCAACAAATGGGGGAACCAACAGCTTATCCTAAGCAGCCTCCGAACGGCCGATGAAGTTTTATGGAGAGTTTTTATATCATGTCCAAAATAAATTCGAAAAATTCGACATTCCCCGAAGACGGGCGACCGCAATTCGAAAAAATAATTTTCCAATTCCAACAAGGCCGTATGGAAAGGGAAGTCTGATGAGGAAATGTGGTGATTTCCGAAATAGCAGCTGTAACTTATACCCTCCATTGTTGTAATTTTTTTACTATTCCAAAAAATCAATGGTTTGAGACAACTCCATAAAAACAAATGTTCAAAATAATTCAACATAACAACGAGCCGAAATATCATTTAATTTTCTTTATTTTTGTATGTTGCCCGAACCAGGACTCGAATGGCAGTACAAAATGCTAATCGCTCAGCTATTACGGCCGCAGGAAGAGGAAATAGTTGGATTTATTTGAAGGTATTGCGAGCTAGATTAGTAGTATAGCTATGTTCAGATCTCTTTAGGTTCAAACAACCTCATTTCGTAAGTTTTATAGCGGAACCCATTGCGACATGGCGAATAAATATGTTCGTAACGGAAGCCTGTTAAGTTCATCTGTAAAGCGTTACTAATTACCTTTATAACCCCAAACCAATAGCTCTTTGTACTCACGAGGTATGACTAAACTTTAAAATAAAATTGTTTTTGTAATTGAGAAAATCACCACTGTAATAAGTCGAAGTTCTTTTTTTTCCTCTCTATATTTGCGGTGTTTGCGAATTAATGCGAAAATGTCATGGATATAAAATGGTAATTAGCCAAAGGCCGCATCTTCAGTGTAAGCAATAATAAGCGACAAGTGTTCATTGGTTTTTATTAAATACCGTTAGTAAGCTTCCAAAAATAGTGACTATTTATGTTTGTATTTATGAAATTATTGTCAAATGTATTTACAACAGCTGTGCAACTGTACAATTGTAAACTGGTAAAGGTGATTTTGTTTTCTTCAATTAAAATTCATACTCATATACATATATACCTATATATATTTAGTATACATAAATACATATTTTTGTGTCTGTTCGTCTGTACAATGCGACATTATTAAAAATAGCAACTTCCGCAATTTTCGAATTTGCTGACGCATCCAACAATTTGTAGTGTGTCGAAATAAGAAGATAAAAATATTTTTAGTTTAAGCGTCGAGGATTTGTATTGCAGGCAATCAACAAAAAAATTATTTCTAAATGTGTTTTTTCTCTTTATTTTTGTTACAAAAACAAGATTTTTATTGTTAAAAAATATTTTGTTAATTTGAAGACCAACTTTTAAGTAACCAAAATAAATTATTCTAAAAGAAGCTCTGCTCTTTTTGCAACCAACCTTGAGAAGAACAAACAACTGGCTTATTTTCAGCTGTGTTATTTTTCACCTCTATTTTACAACATTGCCGTTATCTGCCGAAACTGCTGTACGGCCAGCGATATTCGTGAGATAATATGAAAGCAAAAAGAATATTAAAAAAAAACGAAAAAAAAATTGTAATGCGGTTTTAGTTTATTCCAAAAGAGAAGAGACATAAATTACTTTTTAAATTATATATAAGTGGATAAACTACATTTCTCATTATATATGTATTTATTATACATCGAAATTTTTTAAAATCATTCACAAATTCATTCTTGAAAGGCCTCTCCATTCTCATCGTATAACTACAATAATTAGTGCGGTTTATGATCCGACAGAGTCATTAGGCTGAGGCAACAGTTATGGTGAATTGATTGCGTTATCGAGAGATGTTTAATGGTTCTGTATGGCAGGAATTAGATGGTATTGATGTGGACAACGTTTAGTTTCAATAAGACGGCACTACGTGCCACGAAATCATCGATCTCTTCTGGGGAAGGTGTCCCAACCGTGTTATCTCTCTAAGAGGTAATCGCTATTGGACACCGAGATTATATGATTTAATACCTTGCCACTTCTTTTGTTGAGGTCATTTGAGAGATATGGTCTACACCAACAGCCGAACGGTGATTCAATACCTTTAACATGTAAGTCATCAAGGTATTGAAGGCGTACAGCAGCCACTTTGCGATTTGGTGATAGAAAGTTTTATAAAAGGAATCCGGTAGTTCTTATTGGAAAACCCTATAGAATAGTTGATGCGGCTGCATAAAGCTGTTCAGTCTGGGGAAGTATTGAAGCTGTAAATGCAATCCTGTTGGTTCTCAGCTTAAAGGAGAATACTCTGTGCGCAAAAAGTAAGGTGAATTTTTAATTTGAGCTTTGCGGGTTAATATATCGGATTAGCATTAGTAGGACTGTTATTGACATCTACGCCAAATTTAAACGACTAAAAGTGCTTTCGTAGTTCTCGTATCACGATTATGGATACAGTATTCATTCTTCGTGACCATTTCGCTAAAAATTCCACGAATATCGTTCCCCGAACCCCGGTATTCGCCAGAATTGGCACCATGTGACTTCTGCCTCTTCCAAAAACTCAGGAGAACACTTCGAAGATACCTTTTTGAGTCGATTGAGGAGATTAAACTTGAATCGTCGCGCTCTCTTAAGATCATACCAGAACGTGACTATTTGCCATGCTTCGATAGTTGGAAAAAGCATTGGCTTAAGTGCATTGCTCCGGCAGTGCACTCTTTTGAAAGTGACGAAATCGATGTAGAAGAACAAATAAAGATTTTTAATTTTACAAACAAATTCACCTAACTTTGTGCTCACAGAGTATTAGGTTAGTTTTGAAAAGTATTGATGTGGACAACGTTTAGTTTCACTAATACGGCACTACGTGCCACGAAATCATCGATCTCTTAAGGAAAAGGTGTCCCAACCGTGTTATCTCTAAGAGGTAATCGCTATTGGACACCGAGATTATATGATTTAACACCTTGCCACTTCTTTTGTTGAGGTCATGTGAGAGATGTGGTCTACACCAACAGCCGAACGGTGATTCAATACCTTAAACATGTAAGTCGTCAAGCTATTGAAGGCGTACAGCAGCCACTTTGCGATTTGGTGATGGAAAGTTTCATAAAAAGAATACGGTAGTTTTTATTGGGAAACCCTATAGAATAGTTGATGCGGCGGCATAAAGCTGTTCAGTCTGGGGAAGTATTGAAGCTGTAAATGCAATCCTGTTGGTTCTCAGCTAAAAGGCGAATACTCTGTAAGCAAAAAGTAAGGTGAATTTTTAATTTGAGCTTTGCGGGTTAATATATCGCATTAACATTGGTAGGACTGTTATTGACATCTACGCCAAATTTAAACGACTAAAAATGCTTTCATAGTTCTCGTATCACGATTATGGATACAGTTTTCATTCTTCGTGACCATTTCGCTAAAAATTCCACGAATATCGTTCCCCAAACCTCTTTATTAGCCAGACTTGGCACTATGTGACTTCTGCTTCTTCCAAAAACTCAAGAGACCACTTCGAGGATACCTTTTTGAGTCGGTTGAGGAGATTAAACGTGAAGCGACGCGCTCTCTTAAGATCATACCAGAACGTGACTATTTGACATGCTTCGATAATTGGAAAAAGCATTGGCTTAAGTGCTTTGCATCGGCAGTGGACTATATTGAAAGCGACGAGATCGACGTAGAAGAACAAATAGAGATTTTTAATTTTACAAACAAATTCACCTAACTTTGTGCTCACAGAGTATTAGGTTAGTTTTGAAAATTAACTGTCTGCCGCAGGGAAGTAAGCTCAGCTGTAAACGGAATAGACCGGCTTCACAAAGCGGTAATAAAACCCGTTTAACTCACCCCCATTACAAGAACGCCATTGAAACTCTCTTAATCGTCTCCCATCAGACCTGTGTGGTAAACTTCAAGCGAGCTGCAACGCTGTAATGCCAAAATACAACTTAACCATGAAGACTCGACCGTACAAAACGCGTCAAACTACTGAGCCCTACACCCATTTTTAGCAGAGGTAGACTACCACATCACACGGTTTCGACTATACGTTTTCAACAAAAACCCCTGAGACGAATGAGTAGGTAAAATATAACAGTTTCTAATATAAGTAGCCTTCACCAGTAAGATCAAGAAGAGAAAAAAATATCTACTCCTTCTAAGCTGGAACCCCATTAGCATTACAACCAGTTTAATAATCGGATACGTCATAGGAAAGAGAGAAACACTACTTTCCACAGGCCCATCAGAGTTCCCTGACCAATCAACCACATCAACTTATAAACTAATCAATCTGCATTTGAAAAGCTAGGCAATTCAGACCTTTTCTAACAATTTCAAGTACCGTAAAGTGATCATTACAAATAAAAGACGCTACGTATCCGCACTAACGTCAGCGGAGGAAGAGGTAGACTTCAATTGGTTTCACTAAACTTACCGGCTTTGGACCCTGATAGACCGAACTTGGTTGCTGTTGTTGTTGCTGTATTGGCAATGACGACACATTATTATAAATGGCAGTCGACTGTGGCTGCTGCTGCTGCTGTTGTTGTTGCTGCTGCGCTGGAGTACGTTGAGTGCGCCATGGCACAGTTTGGGCCGATGGCTGTGAGTTGGAAGAATTGTTGGCTGCTGTTGCTGTTTCTGCTGCTGCTGCTGGTGTTGGTGGCGACGAGTAAAGTTTTGGCGACTGCTGTTGTTGTTGTGCCAGTGGCGATATAGCTGGTGGAGCACGTTGTTGCGGTGTTGACTGCTGCTGCTGCTGCTGCTGTACACCGCCATAACGGAAGGGACTTTCGGTAGCGCGTTGCTGTGGCGGAGTGCCAGCATCAGCGCGTGGACTATCCGTTTGTCGTGTGTAAACGTTAACAGCCGGCGATTGTGGCGGTGCAACGCTACGGAACTCAGCAGGTCGTGGCGATTGCTGTTGCGCTTGTGGAGATGGGGACGCACTGTTGTTGTTGTTGTTATATTGAGGCTGCTGCTGCTGCACGGATTGATATGCTGGTGTTGAGTAGGTGGGCTGAGTTGGTGTGTATTGTTGTTGTTGTTGTTGTTGTTGTTGTTGTTGTTGTTGTTGTTGCTGTAGTTGAGTGGAGTTGTTGCTGTAATTGAGTTCAGGTTGCTGGGTGGTCGTTGTTGGTTTCTTGTAACCTATTTCGCGTTGTTGGTTCGGAATAAAAATGTAATTAATGAAATGAAATATGAAAAATTTGGTTAAAAATATTTTGAGATTAATTTTCTTTTCGCAAACTTAAAAGTTAGACCTCTAGAGATGTTAGGTTGTGAGAGTGAGAGTTAGCGGCGCCAACACCATTTGCAAAGTTAGTAGACTCAGGTGGTTGCTGTAATATTGATTAGTAGTGATAAAGGTATGCAGAAAAAAATCATGGGATTCCACGCCCACCTATATTGCGAATGGTGATTTTACCGTTAACCTTACCAAAATGTCTTACACTACCCAAAGTGAAATAAAATTATTTTCACTATTAGTTTATGAGACTTGAGATCAACCGGCTCTTCTGTGAACCCTTTCGGTCCCAATATGTGTTTAGCTGTATAATAATAAACCTTAACCGTTGCACAAACCACCAAAAGAAAGGACCAAGGTTAGACCCATACAAAGCGTTGATGTGGAGATGAAGTGTGATAAACCGTTAGAAAAAAGAAGAGCGTAGAAAATACATATGTGCTCTCTACACATATGCTTCTACGCGCATTTCTCACCATCGACTTGCTCGTTGGCATCGTTGTTGTTATTCGCATTGTTGTAGCTGTTGTTATTCAAATTAACCGAAGCTGGCTCACCGTAACCAGCGGCGCTGTTAGCAGCAGATCCACTATTGGTACTTGCCACCTCAGCAGCATCAGCACCGCTACGCGGTGAGCTAGCCCGATCATTTTCACCCACCATAGGACTCTTGGAGCGATCGCGCACATATTCATCCTTCCAGAAGGTATTCTTCTCCACAGGCGGTGGAACTTTGCGCAATGCCGCCATTGGATTAGGTGGTATTTTGATTTCCGGTCGGAAACCCATTGGTGGTGGCTCGAATCGTTGCGGTGTGGGCGACTTGCGTTGCGCGTTGGGTGAACCGGGTGCACTACCCAGTCCGCCGCCATTCTGTGGTGGTGCTAATGTGGAGGAGGAACTAGGTGGTGGTGGTGGTGGCGGTGCCGCAGCGCCATTCAATTTCTTACCCGGTGCTGCTGGTGGTGGCGGCGGCGGCAACACCTGGAACGGCATACCCATGCCGGCGGCACCGATTTGAGAGGCCGCATTGCCACTACCCGGCGATTGTGGTTGTGTTGGTCTGTTGAGTTGCGATGCACCAGTTGCGCCCTCAGCTTGGGCATTGCGCGCCAAACGTTTAGCCATACGCTCCGATTTGATTTGTGAGAGATCAATGCCGCCCGGTGTGTAGGTGAAGGGTTTCTTGTCTTTTGTCACCATGGCATTTTGTACGCAAGCGGGTGCTTCGTAGCCGCGTTGAGCGGAGCCGCCATACCTGAAACAGAAGGGAAAAGTTATTCTTTGATTAGAGAAGAGCAAAGGAATAAACATAAAACTACTTGAGTTTAATATTACTTATAAAATACTATATTATAATGGTTATGGTTTCTTACTTTTTTTATTTTTAATTCATTTTATTTTATTTTAGTTGTATGATATTTAGTAAATAAACATTTTCACTAACTAATAAAAGATATAAGATACCATATTTTAAATACAATGCGATTTCCAACAAACCATAAGCTACATTTTTAATCTAACTAAAGTATAGAATACATCATTCTTTGTTGACGTCATTAAAAAAATATTAAAAAGAAAATTGCGCACACGCAAAATGTAGAAATTTTTTTCCGTCGAAAAATCGTTGTTGTGAAACCGTTGCGTGAATTGTCAATTCTTTTTGTGCCAACTATTATTATTTATATTTTTTGTTGAAAAGACTTTTTTCACAAATAAATCATTACTTTGGTTAAAACAAAAAACTGAAACACGTGCAGTGCCAAACGGTGAGTTAGAGATTTTTCTTTTATTTTGCAGTGCCCCAAGATCATGGGCGTTGTTGGATCTAAGCGTTGCTCGTGTACTTTTAGCATTATGCAAATTCTTAGATATTATATATGGCTCGGTATGCAATGTTCTCTGACGCATTTAAAGCAGACAAACAACTAATGGTTATTTGACATGTCTGACATGAAAACTAATACCAAATGTCTGCGGAGTCGAAACAGGTGATCAAATGATTTTGAAGGATTGTGGGGATTTTCAGAAATCCTCTTTTAGAGTGGTTTACACTTGTATTACAATCCGATATGATAATATATATTAATTTATTTAACTTTTTATTATATTACATTTTATTTTTTTTGTTTATTTATTTCACTATATTTTATATATATATATAATTTTAAGTTTCTAAATTTTTTAAATTCTCTATTTTATTTTACTTTTTAAATTAATTATATTTTACTTTATTTTATTTACATTATTTTTATTTTATTTAATTTTTTTTTAATTAAGTTAACTTTATTTTATTTTATTTTATTTCATTTTATGTTTGATGAAAATGATGGCTTCAAAAAATAAAGACGAAGCAGGTATTGTAGTCAGATCCAAGTTGTCAACAAGAAGAAATAATAGTTTATTGAAACTTCTATATATACAGCAGTTTGGTAAAAAAGATCGATAACTCAACTTATATTTCAGTACATAATACGGTGTTGCCATATACTTCAACAATTTTATTTGATTTTACTTTACTTAATTATGCTGTATTTAATTTAATAAAATTTAAAAATTTTTTTCATTTTATTTTATTTTTTCACCATTATTTTGTTTTATTTTATTTTAATTTATTTTATTAAATNACTTAATTTTATTGTATTTAAATAAATTAAATTTAAATTTCATTTTATTTTAGTTTGTTTTAATTTTTTTTAATTTAATTTAATTTAATTTAATTTTTTTTTATTTAATTTTATATTGTTTGATTTTATTTTATTTTTTGTTTATATTATTTTATTTTATTTTTGTTGTAAGTATTGAAATACGCAGAAGTGGTTAAGTTTAAGAATGTGTTTATTCATGGAGATATCTTACAGGAGAGAGGGTATTTCTAATATGGTAGGCCTTATATAGGACATAACTTATCTTCAAGCGTTACCTTTGCCGAATAGCGTTATGTACAAATTACTTAGATAGTATAAGAGTATTTACAATATGTTTGGAGTTGCCTGACGAACACAAATACTTTTCAAAAATTTTATTTTATTTTATTTTCTTTTCTTTTATTTTGTTTTATTTTGTTTTATTTTATTTTAATTTAATTTATTTTATTTTGTTTTATTTCATTTTATTTTATTTTAATTCATTTTATTTTATTTTATTTCATTTTATTTTGCTTTGTATTATTTTATTTCATAACATTTATTTTTTCTTTTTTAAATTTTATTTTTTATTGTACTTCAATTGGTTTTACTTTTTACTTTATTTTTTTTTAATTCAGTTTTTTATTTATTTGATTTTATTTTTTTTTTATTCTAATTTATTTTATATTGTTTTATTTTATTTTATTATATATTTTATTACTTTATTTTAATTGAGGTTCTTTTATTTTATTTTAATTTATTTTCAATTTGCTCTATTGCATCTTAATTTTTTTCTATTCTTGTTTTATTTCACTCAATTTAAATTAAATTAGTTTTATTATTATATATATTATTTGCTGGTTCCATAATTTTTTATTTTAACTTTGAACAACCACGAAAATAGTAACCAAAATATTTACAAGCATTTGTCTATGTTTACTTTTTGCTCTATTTGGTAATTTGTTAATTTTTATAGAGATTTTGCTAACATCAATAGCAGAATGTAATTTTAAACGATCTCAAGAGCTTTGCAATTTTTTGTGAATTTTAGTAAAAAAAAAAAGAATTGTGGTAACGCGCTTGAATGGAGCCAAAGACAATTACAACTACAACATAAACAGTTGCGTGACAATTTGAATTACCACAGAATTATGGTAAAACAGGTAATGCGGGCGATAAAACAAATATGGAAATTAGCGGCTGTTGCAGTGACAAGTTGTTGTGGAGACCAACTGAAAATAATAATAAAAACTTTTTCAGAAACCGCTAACCGCAAAATTAGCTATTTTAATACAAACAGATGAAACAAAAATTTACACATGTATCTATGTTTGTATGGTTAATTGCAGTTTTCACAACTACAAACGTTATTTTCTCAATGCTGAAAGAGTATAGGATAAGATAATGCTGTGGTCACCCACATCATTTTTTATTTTCAAAGTTTTGTGCTCTAAAAAGCCAATAAAAAACTGTTTCAAAGTCATATTGTGGTATATTTTTTTATTTTATTTTTTTTAATTGATTTTTTTTTATTTTATTTTATGTTATTTTATTTTATTTTATTTTTTTTATTTTATTTTTTATTTTATTTAATTTTAGTACGTTTATTTAACTTAGTTTAATTTAATTTAATATTGTTTTATTTAATTTAATCTAATATGATTTGGTTTTAGATTGTGCTATTTTGATTTTCATTTCACTTTATTATTTGATTTTGTTTTTGTTTCATTCATTTTTATTATATTATATTTTATTTTCTTTTATAAATTATTAGTGATTTATAGTTTTTAGTTTTATTTTATTTTTGTATACAATTTTGTTTGGTTTGATTCTGTTTTATTTTATTTTATTTTACTGTAGTTCTTTTTATTTTATTGTATTTTATGTTATTTTTGTTTATTTTATTTTATTTTATTTCGCTTTTTTATTTGATTTTATTTTAATTCATTTTTGTTAAATATTTTTTTTTTTAATTTTATTATTTTTCTCATTTTATTTAACTCTTTAACTAATTTTTTTTTTTTGTTTTATTTTATTTTAAATTTGTTTGCTTATATTATTTTATTTTATCTTATACTATTTTCTTTAATTTTGTTTATAATATTTTATTTTATTTTCATTTTATTTTATTGTATTTTATGTTATTTTATTCTAATTTATATAATTTTACATTATTTTATTTTTATTTTTCATTTTTATTATATTGTTTAGTTTAACTTAGTTTTATTTATTTTGTTTAAATTAAGTTTATTTTTTTTTATTATAATTTTCATATTGTTTTTATTCACATGCTGTCTAAAGGTGAATAGCTATAATGAGCTCTATCCTATAATAATTCAATGTCATAATTTCAGTCTATATATTGACATTTTTATTTCTCCAATTAAAAGAACTTAAATAAACAAACAACGAGTTTCGCAGTAGTATTTCAAATTCATATTTTTTTGCATTTTTTTATAGACAAATATAAGTAAATATTTATGTGTATTGATTTATGTGCACAACTTATTTTAAATCGAGAAATTGCATAAATTAATCTTGTTCCGCACCCATTTATGGGCGTATTTCAATATGATTTGACAAGTGTCTACGGGTATCTCCTGCTCCAGCTTCATACGTTTGTCAGCTGTTATACACATTTCCGAGTAGTTGGTGCAACAGGAGCCGACTGGTAACTACTGTCAGTGCATGCTAACATCATTACGCGCGCTCCTGCACACAAATATGGGGAAGTGTAGTTTCAAGTTTGCGATGGCTTTCTATTTTGTAATTAAAATAAACTGACGTAGTGACGTAGTGAGAAACGCAAATAATTATAATTTATTGTACATAATAATTTTTTAATTTTCAATATTTATATACATAAATAATATATATATATATATATTGTAATATTATTTTAATCCAATTTAAATATTTTTTGGATAATTTTTTAATCGCTCTAGAGATTTCAAAATGATTATTTTTTATTTATACAATTTTGGTATATCAACAATTTATATCTTCTAAGGAATGTTTTCTCAACCCAACTAGTACACCTCATTTCAAGAAAAGCTTCCGCAATACGCTTTACCGTAATTTCTCCAGCACCCACTTTTTCCACAAACATTGACAACTTAATTGTTGCCTAATTCGGTCAAATACATCACAGCTGACGAAACGAAAAAAAAAGCGTAAACAAATCTGAGCAAGTCTAACCAGTTCTTAAATAAAAATATTTGTATGTATGTAAGTAGCATAAAGCACCGCATAATCATAATCATTTAAATTAAGTACAAAATTATATTTTATTTTCGCAAGAACGTACACATTTGCCAATGTAACTCATTAGATTTTGTGATATATGTATGACCCAGAACTACCTTCATTCATGGAATATGCGCTTTCACAAGCCATTTAACGGTTTAGAGTTGGAAATACATATGAGGCGTGGAAAATTTTTAATTTCATTTTTTTTATTTGTTGTTTGTTGCTGAAGATGACCATGAAATGAAATTTTAAATTGGTATTCTAATACTAACTGGCAGGCAAGCATTAGTTGTCATTAAGGCAAACCAGAGTCATATGTATGTAAATATGCACATACACGTATATATGCATATTTTTACATGATTTGCTACACTTGCTGGAC